AGCTCAAGGCTATTAACGTCCGAAATGGTCCTCAGCTGATAAATTCTGCTGCCAGCCACTGAGGGTGGTGCTATCTTTTCCTAAACACTTCATTTTCTGGCCTTCTGCTACCTGCCAGCATTCAGCCCTCTGTTCTCTACAGCTGCCTCCCAGGGTTGTCTCTCACCCTTGGTGCCAGGGCCAGTTGAATCTGAAACCTCAGCTCGTAATTCCCTTGTCTGTAGCTGCCCAGTAGCCAAGTTTTGAAGGACAGACTCCCTTGGGATGGGAGGACCTTTCTGAGTTGGCTGAACTCTCTCCAGCTGCGGACTCTTCCCAGCAAAGAAGTCACTGTCTCAGCAAGACCTACAAGTGGGTCTGAGGCTCATGAGAACCATGGCTTTGTCTACGGGTGGGACTGCCAGTCTCTTCTCTCCAGAGACACTCGGTGATGTCACTTTCCAGATGACATTTCTGTTTCTGCTGCCCTGCGCCAGGGAGTCCCACCGCTGGTGCTGTGTTCTGCAAGGCACCCCTCTTTTTGGTGTGTCGCCTTTCTGTTCCTCTGCACCTTTCAACGTCCTGTCACCCCCTGTATGGATTTCCAGAGCTCATCCTTAGTAATAGTCTTTCTCTTTTCCTGACACCTCTTCTCAGGGTCACAGGGAGGTAGCTTCTAGTCAGCCATCTGACGCGGAAGTTACTCCTTGGGAAGTTTTTATTTCTAATTTTCTGTGTATTCCCTTGTCGTCTTCCTCGGCATTTAATCATCTATAGTCTAAGAACATTCTCTTCCACTGTCCATTTTCCAGATCCGGTTGTAGACATCCTGAGAATGGGGGAGGAAAACCACAAAGATGCAAATATTTATTTCACACGGCTTGGGAAGACATATTGAAATCCTCACTTTGAGATCTTTGTACCTAAGTAGTGCAAGCGGTTTCCTGGCCCTTAAATGATTGCTACTCCAAAAAGAAGCCCTGGATACACCAGGGGGGTGGGATTTAATAGATGCACTGAAACCAACCCATAAGTACTGTTTCCTTATTTACCTCAGTCCAGAGCACCTTGTGAAAATGTCCCATTCAGAGTGTCGTAGGCACAGTGCTTTGCAGATCCTAAAGGACAAAGGAACTGGGCTTTATTGAGTTTAAAAACAATAACCTTTAGCCCCTGTTCATGTAGCAATGACCAACTCAGTGAAAAAAGATAAAAAAGGAGGAGAGAGAAGAAGGAGGGAAAAGGTAGAGGGAAGGAAGGAAGGAGAGAGGGAGGGAGGGAGGGAAAAGAAAGAGAGAAAGAAGGAAGTAGGGAAGCAAGTGGCCTATCTCACAGTCCTTCAATTTACCCAGTGTGCAGGGTGTTAGAATTCCTCTCAAAGCCCTCAGGTACTCCTGCCAGAACACTTAATACCCAGAAAAGGGGTAGTCTGTGACTGGGGTGGTGACTCAGTTGATAGAGTGTTTGCTACGCTAGCATGAGGAGCTGAGTTCAGAGTCCCTAGCATCCCTGGTAAAACAACAACAATAGCAACATTGTGTGCCTATAATCCCAGACCTGAAGAACTGGAAGCAGGACAATTCCCAGAACTTACTGACCATCCACTCTAGTTAAATTGGTAAACTCTGGGTGCAGTGAGAGACCGTGTCTCAAAGACTAAGGTGGAGCAGTTGACACTCAATACCAACCTCTGACCTCTACATCCAGCCTATGTATGTGCGCACATGCACACGCGTGCGCGCGCGCACACACACACACACACACACACACACACAGTCTGAGCAGAAATTGAATAGAATGGAGAAACTATCAAAATGCCGTTGACATCTATAGCATGTTTGTATATCCTTTGTACCAGTGAAGAAGGGCTGCCCAGAAAGCTGCAGTCAGTAGCCTTAGTGATAAAGAGCAGGCCAGGGCATGAGGCTGAGCAGGAACTTCTGCCCAGCAGTATTAGAGACACGTAACTGGGAAGGAGCTAACCCTTGACTCCTCTTCATACCTAGTTCTGTGGACTTGGAACAGTTCTGATCTTAGTTGGGCTATTGCTGTGATAAAATACCTAACGCAGAGGCAATGGAGGAAACCTGCTTACTGACTTGCCCTTCATAGCTTGCTCACTCTGCTTTCTTATAGCACCCAGGACTACCTTCCCAGGGATGGCACCACCCACAGCTGGACCCTCCCAATCCGTCAAAAAAGTAACACAGTTTGCCCACGGGCCAGTCTGTTGGGGCTGTTTCCTCAACTGAGGCTGGTTCTTCCCAGATGATTCTATCTTGACATAAGATGAGCCAGTACAGGTCTCTTTTGGAAATATATGCTTTTAACTGACTATAGCTGAGGGGAAAATGATAGTTAATGCACAAATTTTTTTAAAAAGCAACTTAAGCACAGTAGATTTTTATTACAGGGAACAGGTGTAACAAATCATGTGGTAAAGGTGATTTTTCTCCTATTTTAAAACAAAATTTAGGCTTTATTTCTTGGTGATTCATATTCAAATAGTCATTGTAAATTTGTACAAAGTAATGAATGCTTGCCAAAAAAATATATAAACAGGTTAACAAACAGCCTTTTTCACCTAAAATAAGATATTTTTTTTTCACCAAATATCCCCAGAAAAGTGTTCAGCTCTGGATTTCTGGTTTCTCATGTGGGATGCCATAGAAGCGCTTCAAAAGCCGGGTACAAACCTTCCTTCAGCTTTCATGCCTGAGAGTGAGGTAGTCTCTTTGGTGGTTGACCACATCTCTGATCTTGGTTAACATTGCTTGGTTTCTAAATAAATCTTAATTTTCCATCTTCTCCCTTCTCATGTACCCACAGAAAACTGTTCTCCCAGGAGAATCAGACTCGGAACTATACAAAATCTACTCTCATCTAAGAGACAAAAGATACCAATAGCTTCCTGCTTGGAATGAATTTATTTCATTACAAACAGTTGTCGATTTTATTATGGAAATCATCCCTTGGATGAATGCTTTTGAATGCCATCTGGCATTAGTTCCTTTTGTATTCTAAAATACAAAGTAATGCCAAGAAAGGCAGCTCCCCACAACACGGCTTATGTCATCTCAGGGAAACAAAAAGAGCCTCCAGAAAAGCTGTATCATCTTTTTCTATCTAGATACTTTTTTCATAATACCTGTAGTTTTTCACTGGAAAAACTTTAATAAATTAAAATCAGAAATTCTATATTTAAACTAATAAATTTTGTTTTAATCAGTACCGACGCTCACAACCTGTATCTCTTTTAACTTTGTTTGTTTGTTTGTTTTGAAAATGGATCTTACGTTGTAGTTCAGACTGTCCTAGAAGTTACTGTGTAATCCAGATTAGCCTAAAATCATGACAATCCTCCTGCCTTGGTCTCCTTAGTGTTACAATTACTGGTGTCAGCCACCACCGCCTCCAGACCCCAGCCTTTTCACTTAAAAATCTACCACCAATACCTCAGAAAGAATGTGACAGTGGCCCCAGAGAGAAACTTAGACGTGACCTCTGAGGAAAGCCACTCCATTGGAACAGCTGGCTAGTCTGGAACGGAGATAGTAGAGCAGATTTCAAATGAACAACGCCCAGGCTCCTTACGTTTAGTCATATTGGTGTCTTTTACTGAGCCAAAAAAAAATGTTTGTCTGATGCCCACCCCTGCTTTGTGAGGTGACCATTTTCCTTCTGCCATTTAGCAAGTAGGTAAGTGGAGGGAGTCTTGGAGTTTGGATGTCTTGGCCACATCACACAAAATGCAGGTAGCAGACTGATACATCATTCCTAGCGTGACCACAGAGGATGTGGAGTATGGGGCAGTAGTGGAGACACGCATGAGCGTTTGCTTCCCTCCAGTGTCACGGAGAGAACCTGCAGGGGTGTGCTGCTACCCATGCAAGACTTTCTCTCTTTCTAGTTTTCTATTATAGCAGGTGACATCAAGAAAAATGCATGAAACTTTATGGCTTTGCACCTAGCACTCATACACCGGTTTCTAATACCATTCTTCAGTCAAAAAGAAGCAAGGTCCTTTGGGTAAATGGCTGAATCTAGGGTTGAAGAGGGGAAGGGTGAGCCTGTGGTGTCCTACAACACAGGACGTGATCAAAAGCAGAACAACAAATCACCCAAGCAAACCGACTGGAGTCTACGAAAGAAGCGCGGCCAAGGGAGCGCCTAGTGGCCAAAGCAACTCAAGGAAGGAGTGTTATTACCTACTCAAGGCACCATCTAAATATCCCCAAGGCCATCCAGTAAGGAGCTGCTGTGTAAACTTGATGAAGAGGCAAACATGGGGAGAAGAGATAGGTCTCCCTTGCAAAATGATTCCAAAAAATGTGATTTATGTAGCTTCTCAATTCCCTAAGAGGTAGGACATAACACCCTTCTCCTTCAGTGTAATATAGACACAGTGACTTGCTTCCAATTAGTATATATGGAAAAGAACTTTAATTACTACTACTACTAATAATCACTGTCATGTTTAAGGTCGGTATCAGTGGGTTACCATGTTGGGAGTATGTGCAGTTTATAAAGGGTGTTAATAATGATACTTAATCTCACCCATCCCCATGATCTTCATCTAATTTTGAGCAAAATGCCAGACAAATGCTAGTCTTTATACAAAAACTTCATTGTACTTCCCCAAACTGTCAAGATGATTAAAAGCCTGCTACGGTCAGGCACCTTGATAAATATAAGATTGTAGAATTTATTTTTATTTATTTATTTTTTTTTTTTTTTTGGTTTTTCGAGACAGGGTTTCTCTGTGGCTTTGGAGCCTGTCCTGGAACTAGGTCTTGTAGACCAGGCTAGTCTCGAACTCACAGAGATCCGCCTGCCTCTGCCTCCCAAGTGCTGGGATTAAAGGCGTGCGCCACCACCGCCCGGCTTGTAGAATATGGTTATAAATAAATTACCTCAGTCGGTCAGTGGCGGCACTCAGGAAGCAGAAGCTACTGTGTGTGAAGAAGATTTTGTGTTGGTCCCCTTCTGATCATAAGTAACTTTTTATCTGTTTTCATCAGGTTTATAATTGGAGATTTGCTGGATTCTGAAAATGATATCTTTGAGAAGTCCAAAGAATGCGACCCTCATGGGTCAGATGAGTCCCAGAAGGCTTTCGACCATGGGACAGAGCTCATCCCGTGGTACGTGCTGTCCATCCAAGCTGATGTGCACCAGTTCCTATTGCAGGGGGCCACTGTCATCCACTATGACCAGGACACACATCTCTCTGCCCGCTGCTTTCTCCAGTTACAGCCTGACAATAGTACCTTAACCTGGATGAAGCCTCCCACCGCCTCCCCGGCCGGTGCCAGACCCAAGCTTGGTATGCTTAGCAATATGTCTGAGCCTGGCAAGTTCCCATCACTAGGCAATGCTGGGCTGAGTGGCCTGACCGAGGGAATCCTGGATCTGTTTTCGGTGAAGGCGGTGTACATGGGACACCCAGGCATTGATATACACACTGTGTGTGTTCAGAACAAACTGAGCAGCCTGCTTCTCTCCGAGGCTGGAGTGACCCTGCTCTATGGGCTCCAGACCACCGACAATAGACTTTTGCACTTTGTGGCACCGAAGCACACAGCTAAGATGCTTTTTAGTGGACTGCTGGAGCTCACGCTAGCTGTGAGAAAGATCAGGCGGTTCCCTGACCAAAGACAGCAGTGGCTTCGGAAACAGTATGTCAGCCTCTATCAGGTAAGGGATGCGTCCAGCCCTCTCCCTCGAGTAATGCAACCCTCGGGAGCACACAGTTGGCGTGAAAACTACGGGGTTTCCAGACCTGTCGCTTACTCCGTGAAAACTTGGACAGCTTTCTTTAGCCTCCCAGGGCCACAGTTTCCCCATATGAAAACTGAAAATGAACTGGACTTGTGCATAATTTGTCTCCAAGACTTTTCTGAGCTCATAGCATGTAAAGACAATGTGTAAATGAATGTGCATGTCTGTTATTATTATATATGAAAGCAATGACTGTGGTCATTGAAGTTCTCACGTCTGCAAAGAAGCCAATTGATGCAGGCATTCACCAACTGAAGGTTTAGCTGAAAGCTCTGTGAGTCAGACATGCAGGCACACGCCTATCATCCCAACCCTTGGGAGGACGAGGAAGGCTAAAGAGAAGGCTTTGATAACTAATTTATGCAAGCTGGCTTCCCTAGCTTCTTCCGAAAGTGTAATCCAAGGGATTTTAAATTAATTAGTATGATGTTTTTGCCCCCATGCTAGGGGCCTCCTTAGGAAGGTCATAGGCCACTAGGAGCTTGAAGACATTTTCGAGGACTTTGTTGAACTCAGCTGTTCCTGCAGTCCCTGCATTGGCTATTTTTCTCACTGCCGTGACAAAATGCCTTGCCACAGCGACTTAACGATGAAAGGGTTTGCTTCAGCTCACAATTTGAGGGTGCGGTTCATCGTGACAGGGAAGTGACAGCAATGGGAGCGTAAGGCCGCTGGTCACATTGCGTCTGCAGTCAGAGACAGAGAGATATGAACGCTGGTGCTCAGCTCACTGTCTCCTTTTTCTGCAGTCCAGGACCCCAGCCCGTGGAATAGTGCTGCTCTCATGTAGAGCGGCTCTTAACTCCTCCCTTAACCCAGTCTGGAAAGCCCCTCATAGAAATGCTCAGAGATTTTTTTTTTTTCTTCCAACTAGCTCTTCAGGCTCAAAACTCCCTGTAGAACACACAGGAAGCAGGTACTTTTATTTGCATTTTAGATGAATTAACTAGACCTGGCTCTGTGATATATAACATTAGAATATCAAGTAAGTGGGTTATACATATTAATACACAATGCTCTGTCTTGCACTACTACCAATTTTTTTTTAATTTATAAGTTAAATATTTTGAACATCTGTGGGATTTTCTCCAAAACTCTAGGAACAACCCTATAAAAACATTACTTTATCCCAAGTTTGGAAAAAGTGTACATAGAAAATAAAAATAAACTTTTTGATTTCATAGTGAAAAACATAACAAAAGCCAGAAAACTGTTCAATGACAACCGGGGAAACAATCAGCCCGCCAACAGGAAGTCCCCAGAGTCCAAACAGAGGCACACATAGGTGGCCAGATCATGCTTCTTTCTGTAAATGCCTGAGCTTATTCACCTCTGGGAATCAACTGGGACCATTAATATTGACTACCTGTTGCTGCTCGCTTGTGTGTTCAGCGTATGGTTCTTTGTAGGAGGATGGTCGGTATGAAGGCCCAACCTTGGCTCATGCTGTGGAGTTGTTTGGTGGCAGACGATGGAACGCTAGAAACCCCAGCCCTGGGATGTCAGCAAAGAATGCTGAGAAGCCCAGTATGCAGAGAAACAACACCTTGGGCATAAGCACCACCAAGAAAAAGAAGAAGATGCTCATGAGGGTAGAGTAACTTTGTTTATTAACCATACCTGGCCTTTTAGGACTACCATGGGGTCTACACTGCCATAAGCCACGTGAGGTTATTTGAGTTATGGGCAAGAAAAATTACAAAACAATGGTTACAAGAACTTGACATGTACCTCACAGGTGCCAGGGTCAGTGTCAGAAATCAGGCAAGGAGAAGGCTCCAAGGAAAAACCAAGGACCTTAAAAGTCCGCATTGGCTCAAACCCCGTGCGTGGCAAATGTGAGTCATTGTTAGGTCACCTGCAAAGAGCTGTATCAGTAGAGAAGTGAGAACCACAGGGGAGAAGCAGTAAGGAAGGACCTCAGAGTGGCTGGCTCACAGTGGGTCTTGAAGTGTGTCCGGGTTTCCAAACAAAACACAAAGGAAAGCATCGGCCACAGGGGAACCAGCAGAGAGGCTGAAAGGCTTCGCTTATTGCTCTCACATACAGAAGTGTGTGTGAAAGGCTAGGGCACCATTTCTGTGGTGGTTAAAGGGGGACTGGAAAAGAAAGCAGGAGCAGGCATGGTGGCTCACTCATGTAACCCCAACGTAGCGAGGCTGGGGCAGGAGGATTGCAGTAAGTTCAGGCTACAGAGTAAGACATTTGTCTCCAAATAAAATCACCCCCCCAATAAAAGCAGAAAGATCACATTATGAAGATCCACAATGTTAAAAACATAGTAGCACTGAATATTGTTGGCTATATTTTCATTATGGCATAATGCATTTCTTTCATAGCTATCTAAAACCGTCCTGTGCTTTGCTCATGAAGATTCATAGAACTTCATTGCTTCTTATTGTGTCTGTCCCCAGAGATTCCAGGAGTGTGGGGTTTTTTTTTTTAGCTTCCTTTTCTTGGGGGACACTGCTTCATACTGAAGAGCACACTAGATAAAATGACCTGAGGTCACCTGGGCAGCCTTAACGTAGCTCTTTACTGGTCTCACGAGGTGAGACAAGATTGAAGGACCTAGGTCAGAAAACAGAAACCCACCTGAACTGAACAAAGCCTTGGGGGAGAGCAATATAGTCCAGGAGCCATGGTAAGGTTTCTGTTCCCAGGGAGAGAGTGGAGAGGCAACCGACGACGAGATGGTGACCCGCAAGGCCAAGATGTACAGGGAGTGTCGAAGCCGGAGCGGTTCTGACCCCCAGGACGTGAACGAGCAAGAAGAGTTGGGTAATGCACTGTGCTCACATCTGAGCCTTTCTGTTTTTAACTTTTATGGGGGGAAAAAAAAAGCTCCTCAGATTTGGCGTTTTGATGTGATTTCAATTTGATATTATGGGAATTCCTTTTTTCACATCTCTCTAAAAACATTTTGTGTGTGCACACACGGCCTCTCCAGAGGCCAGAAGAAGGCATCAGATCCCCTGGAGCTGGAGTTACAGGCCGTTATGAAATGCCTGATGTTGGGTGCTAGAAATGGAACTTGAGTCCTCTGTAAGACCGGCAAGTGCTCCTAATTTCTGAGCCATCTCTTAGCCCCTGCTGGGAATCCTTCGTCCTGAGAATTACTTGTCTTGATGAGATGTAAAACCTGAGAGGCATTTCTACAAGCACACTCTACTTAAAGGAAAAGCCTCCTTAACCTGCCATTACTGGTAGATAATATTAGCTATCCAGGGTACAACTGACTGGGTGTTAGTGCTTTTAAGAATATGCCTGGATGTCACAACCACGCCCATGATCGGGTCATTTCTATATTCTTTGTCGAGGCCTTGGGTTCTGTGTACTTTTTTAAGCTCCCAGGTTAACTTGTAGCCAGCTGAGAACCCACCAGATTGGCCCATCCATCAAAGTATTCAGATGTTTCTTATATAAAAATTCAGTTGTGTGGATTGTTTTGCTGGCTTTTAAGGGAAAGTAGGCGCTAAGTCATCACCTCTTTTTTTTTTTTCTTTCATCCCTGCAGAAGCCAATGTCATCACTAACCCTCCCAACCCCCTCCATTCCAGAAGAGCTCACTCTTTGACCACGGCTGGGTCCCCCAACTTGGCTACCGGGATGTCATCTCCCATCAGGCCAGTCTCCTCCCCTGTGCTGTCTTCTTCAAACAAGAGTCCATCCAGGTGGGGCCTTACCATGATGAAACAGGGAATCCCCACGTCAGCCCAGCTGTGCCCATCTCTAGTTCTAACTCATAGTTAAACTGAAAAACCCCTAATTGAAAATGATTCTGACTTTCCTGATTCTGTCATCATAGTTTCTCATACTGCTATCATCCCTACTCACTGTTGGAGAGACCAATTCTTCCGAGGTCCAAGGAAGTAATAAAAAGCCAAGCAGTGATTCTCTAGATCGGCTCCCTCTAGTTGGCTAGCCGCTGATCACCTAGAGTCCTTTAACATCAAGCTTCAATTATTCAAAATTAAATTAAATTGGGCAATCCGTTCCTGAATCACATCTTAATTGCACCCCAGGAGGCTAAAGGCTTCTGTAGCTAGAGAACATGTGTGTCACTGAAGCACACTCTATCGGGTAGTCCCATTCAAGGGAACAATGAAATGATCTAGCTGCCGGACCTTGCTGATAGTGAAACACAAGTCACGCTTTTTGACTTGCGGTAGAAGTTATGCTTGCCTGGAGAAATAAATGCAAGTATTGCAATGAGTTAGATATCTTTACCTAAAGCCAAAGCTGGGGTTGTTGCAAATGATGGTGTCAGGACCAGAGACTTTTAAAAACCTCTGCCTTTGCTGATCATGACAGCGCTTGTCTTTACTCTTAGCAGTGGAGAGGTAGGGTGACCTCTGTGAATTAGAGGCTGGGCTGGCCTACATAGCTAGTACCAGGCTTGCCTGAGCTGCACAGTGAGACCCCATCTCAAAAACAAACAAACAAACAAAATCTACATCTTAGAACCAGAAGTAATAATAAGATGAAAAGGGACGAAAGGGAGCCGAGATACCACTCCATACACAGCAGCTAAAGAAATGCGAAGATCCAGGCAGAACCAGAGGAAAGCAGGTCCTGTTCCCTGTGCCACAGAGGCTCAGCAGACAGACATTGGCTTTGGAAGCTTTCCTTTCAACCCACATTATGCACATGTGCACAGATGCACACATGTCCTGTGTAATTGCTCTCGTGAGTCATGCTATTGGTAAGAACTCCACGGTAAATTCTCTTCTAAAGGGACGAGTTCCCCCACACTCTGAGTGGCAATCTTTAACTTTAGCCTTTGTGCCTTCAGTCCCAGAGTTAGTAAAGATGGGCCAAAGGCTGGACGGCCCTCTTTATTGCTCTTGAAACTGTTCTATAAATTCAGATTTATAGTAAAACTGAAAATAGTTGGGATCCTTTATACTTTCAGCCCATGCTGGAACCTAAATACATAAAATATATAAAATAGTGTGTTTGCCTTTTATTTAAGTCGCTGGTGAGCAGAGAAAGGCAGAGAAGAGTGATAAAGGGAAGTCTTTTGAAGGAGAAACTAGCTCACATACCAAGTCTAAAGTCAAAGGCTCAGCCCCAGGGTGCAGGGCCAGTCCCTGCTTACAATTTTAGGATGGATGGAAGGAAGGAAGGCAGAAGTAACACCAGCCTAAGCCGTGTTAAAGGACAGAGAGAGACTGAGCCCCTTGAGACAGAGAGACAGTTCCATACCTGACAGTGGAACTGGAAAAGAGGAAGACAGGAAACTCACTTGAGCAATTAATTACAGTGTGTTCCAATGATAAAGAACTATTCACATCTTCCTGAACTTGTACCCTAAGCTGCCCACACCCAGCTGGAAATCCTTCCGTTTGTGATGCTCTCCCGCCCAGAGAGGTGACCGTCAGATCTTAACTCTCAACATTTTCAGTGCATGAACACTAGGAGCAGAATTAAAAGTAGACTGACTGCTCGGTGCTCTTTGTATTTTCTTACAAATTAACACTTAAAATATCCCCCCCCCCCAAATCTAAGCCTTCCTCACAAAAAGAAAAGAAAAAAAGAGAAAGAAATATTACGTTAATTGATTTGACTTAAAACCATCATCAAAACATTTCTTCTACTACTTTGAGTCATCCACACAGAAAATAAAAAGTGTAGTAAAATGGCCAGACTGCATATTTGCCTGAGAGCGATGATATTTTTATGGTGAATGGATGCAGCCTTGGAAGAAGGTGCAGATGGGCTCCGAGGCGGGGTTGGCGTCTTTCCATTCTTAATATTTTTCTGACTCACATTTTCCATTAATATTAAAAGCTTTTCCCTGTTTTCATTGAAGAACTGGTTAAAAAAGGAAAAAGAAAGACATTGGCGCATTTCAAAACTTGCCTCCTGGATGTGTTTGCATAGTTTAGAATACAGAGAAGAACATGAACGATTTCCCACAAATTACGAACAAGGAATTTGGGGATCCTTTTTTTAAAAAACATGACTTTTCCCTAGACACACTGAATTTGGGAGATTTCCCCCTGATTTATCGATTTGTGCTTGAATATTAGCCCTCACTGTTTTGTCCCAGCTGAGTAAACGAGGAACACCGTTACCGGTACATCTTTATTACCTGTGAGATGATGTTGATTAAGGGATATAGTATCATTTCCCTTCTTGTTCAGATTGCCTTCAGAGACTGTGGAGGCAGAATGACTCGGGGTGTGCACTTACCAGTGACAGCCATGTTTCTCTGCAGTGCCTGGAGCAGCAGCAGCTGGCATGGACGGATCAAAGGCGGGATGAAGGGTTTCCAGAGCTTTATGGTTTCAGACAGTAACATGAGCTTCATTGAATTCGTCGAGCTATTCAAATCATTCAGGTAGGACGCGCACTTCCTTCTCACTCTTTCTCCAGCCCACACCGGGGCGGCAGCTCTAAACGGGAGATGTTCTCTCTTCTCCCTTCAGCGTAAGGAGCCGCAAGGACCTGAAGGATATTTTTGACATCTACTCTGTGCCCTGCAATCGGTCTGCCTCTGAGTCAGCCCCCCTGTACACGAACCTGACCATTGAAGAAAACACCAGTGACCTTCAGCCTGACCTAGGTTGGTTTAACAATTTAGGACTTCCCTTTGGGAGCTTTCTCTCCAAAACCAAGGTGGGAGATCCAGTCACACACACCCGTTCAGCCTGTTACTCACAGTTTGCTCTTACCTGGAGCTCTTTGAAACACTGAGAATTGTTTCCAAGGTCATTTGACAGTAAGGGGTAGGCAGGAACAGTAAGAAATCCATTGTCACATGATTCTTTTGGCACTCAGTTGAAATTGGGCTGTTTAACTAAGAATGCCTTCTGGTCATTCTGACAACCTTACTCCCTTTCCCAACCATTTCCAAATGTCTACAGGGTTTGGACTGGGTCTTAACTGAGAAACACCAGTATCTATGCTACCCATAGATAAGTGCTTGCTCAGGCCCAAGCACTTTGTCAAGGGGAGTCTTTGATCACCTCAGCATAGCACTCCTGTCTGAACATCGAGGATGTTTTTCCTTCTTTGTAAACCAAAATTCCCCCTTTATCCTACTTATACCATTTAGTCACCCATGAATTTTTAAGCCTATCATTTATCTCCTAATTTCTTGACAGAACTATAACCACTAGAGAGTACACACACTAAAGAGTGTACACATACATACACACGCACACTATCCTTTTTCGTGTACTTACTTCATAATTACTTATAAACTTATATTGTCCTTATTAACTATTGTAGAACTTGCAAAACATGCATACCTACCGACTAACCAAGTAATTGCATCTTTTAAATCATCACTTTTTATCATATAGACCCCTTGTAGGTGTGTGGAAAATGGGAAGAAATCATAGCCTTCCCATACACTGGCCCCCTGCACACCTGTGTGGATATCTGAGCACACAAACTCTCCCTGTTTGCGATGCCCTGCACTAGTAAAGTGCAGTCGTGACAATCCAGTCACTATCAATCCATACTGTGGCTGGAGTCCGTGGTTTTCTTCAGAGCTGTACACTCCGTGGGTTCTACAGACGGTGACATGTATACACGGCAGTGTTAGGCAGAACAGCTTTGCCGCCCTGACAATCTCTGTCCCACCTTTTCAGCTTCTCCTCCTCCCCTGAAAGCCCCTGGCTGTCACCAATTTTCTTACTGTTCTATAACTGTGCTTTTCCCAGGATATACCATACCCCTGGAATCCAACAGTGTGTGGTCTTTTAGGATGACTTGTTTTTCCACTGGGCAATGTGCATTTACATTGCTCTTTCTTTTTTCAAATCCATGGCTAATTTGTTTTTAAACTGAATAATATTCCATTGTGTAGATACACTGTTATCAACAATTGTATGCATGTTTTTATATGGAAGTATGTTTTATAATCTTTTGGCTAAGTACCTAGAAGCGCTAGATTCTATGGTAAGCCTCTGTTATCGCTTTGTAAGAAATTGCCACATTGTCTTCCCAAATGGCTAAAATTGAAATAACCAGCCCTGCCAAGTTTCTCCAAATGGGGAGCAATGAGAAGCTTAGAACACTTCTGGTTAAAATGTAAAATGACAGTGGTGGCTTCTTGTTGAACTAAACATACTCTTTACATAGAATTCAACTCTTTGATCATTCGCCAAAATTAATTTTATTTTTTTGTTCTTCTACATATTATACTTATTGTTCAAGAGTTTCTATTACAAAAATAAATTTTAAAATGATATTGATGCAAAATCTGCATATAGATGTTCATAATTACAAATTTAAAAATACAGAAAAGCTTTATGAGTGTGTCTCTACCAAAAAAAAAAAAAAAAAAAAAAAAAAAAAAAAACACCAAAACAAAGAAACCTGGCCGGAAAGATGTCACAGAGCTAAAAAAAAAAAAAAAATATTGCTGACCTTCCAGAGAACCCAAGTTCAGTATCCAGGACCCATAATCACATGGTTCACAAGCATCTGTAACTCTAGGTCTAAGGACTCTGACACCCTAGCCTCCAAGGGCTCCTGCCCTCACATGTACATACCCGCCCACAAACACACATGCACATAGTTTTAAATATTTTTTTAATCTGAATTTGAGCTAGATATCATAGTGCACACCTTTAATCCCAGCACTCAAGAGGCAGAAGCAGGTGCATCTCTGAGTCTGACGCCAGCCTGGTCTACAGAGTGAGTTCCAAGCTGAGCATCTTTCCAGCCCCTGGGTTCTTTTATTTACTCATTGGTTCATTTTTGTTTTCCTCTACTGTGGGAAGCCAGCAACACGCACTGACTTTGGCACTTTATTTAACAGATTAGGGCGTCACCAGGGCATTGACTCTGCAATATCATTATCTCCAGGTGAACTCTGTCAAAGGATTTCTGGATAATCAATTGCTGTGGGTGGCTGTATTTCAGATTTGCTGACCAGAAACGTCTCAGACCTGGGGCTGTTCATTAAGAGTAAACAGCAGCTTTCGGACAACCAGAGGCAGATATCCGATGCCATTGCAGCTGCCAGCATTGTGACCAACGGCACTGGGATTGAGAGCACATCCCTGGGCATATTCGGGGTTGGCATACTCCAGCTCAATGACTTCCTGGTGAATTGCCAAGGAGAACACTGCACGTACGACGAAATTCTCAGCATCATCCAGGTACCAGGTGTATGGCACGTCTCTCTCTGACTGACCTCATTTGATGCTAAGCGTTTTCTTCTGTTTACACTTCTTCCCAAAGCCTTCTGATCTGGGGTCCAAATAGAGTTTCTTTCAATGCCAGGTCCATAGGTATTCTTATTTATCATATAATTAACATGGGTCCTAGGGCGTCTCTGACGCAATGACAATTACAAGGAATTTGTGCCCTAGTCCTTCTTGCTGTTCTAACACATGCAACAGTCTATATTTTCAGCCTGTCACTTCACACCTAATTTTTAGCTCCCACTCTGCAATCCTGTGTTCAAGAGCTGGGAATACAGTACTGGATAAATTCTCATTCTTCTATGCATCTTACATTCTGGTCTGTAAGGTAAACAATAAGAAATATGTAAACATTCTGGTCTGTAAGGTAAAGAATAAGAAATATGTAATTGCAAGAATAAGTTTGTTTTTATTTTTTTAAATTGAGCAGGGTAGGGATAACAGGAAGGCTAAGCTGGAGAGGGGCATTTGGGCTGAGCTCTGAGTGAGTTACGTCCTTTGAAGTTCTGAGGGAAGAGGGTTCTCAGAGAAACATAAGAACCCAGCTCAAACCCTGGGGTAGGAGCGAACTAGGGACTTATGAAGAGCCTCAAAAAAAAAAAAAAAAAAAAAAGTCTAGTATAGTCAGAGACCAGCAGGACTGGCAGATGCGATTTCGGGCAGGTATCCAAAGACTAGCTCATCTAGGACTTTCAGACTACAGAACGGATGGAGGTTGTCTGTGTGAAACGGGAAGCTTGGGGAAATTTTAAGCAGGAGGGTGCATGATTTATGCTCCAAGAGGTCACTGTGAGCCCATTTGGGAATAAACTGTGCTGATGAAGGATGGGGACTGGTGAGCAGTGGAAACTGCCCCCAGAGCCCAGGCAAGGGAAGGTAGCAGTTTAGCAGGTGGCATCTCTAGGGAGTGAAACTTTACTGTGGCAGGGTCACATACAATACAGCAGAATGAGGTTAGTCCCCTGCTTGGGAATCCATGGAGTAGCTGAGTAGCCTTTAGATTTAACCGCTAAAGACGCTAAAACCGGGGGTCCACTGTGGCTCAGTTGAGCGCATATTTGGTAGGGGGTGCACCAAAAGAATCAGCTCTTTCCCCCCTCGCTGCTGGTACATAGCTGCCGTTATTATCCTCATCTTCCCCTCAGAAATGCACAGTGGTTTCGAATGAATCAGCCTTATTCTTTTCTCTTGCTCCCTTTTTTCTCTTAAATAAATATGCTTGGTATAATAAACTCACATATAATAAATATTTTCTTTTGGACTAAAAACTACATCTTACCACTACATAACTAAATTAGTTCAAATATTTGGTTTAGACGTTTCCTAATGAAAACAGAACAGCTTTTTTTTTTAAAAAAAAAAATGATGTGGTGTTATTTCCCCCTTCTTGGTTTTCTTTACCTAAAACATGCCTTTATTTTAATCCCTTGCAGAAATTCGAGCCTAGCATCAGCATGTGTCATCAGGGCCTAATGTCGTTTGAAGGGTTTGCAAGGTAACTCTTCAGATCCCCTTTGCACAGCGTTTAAGGGCACAGACTGCGCTTGCGCAGCCTTCCGACAATGTGTCTCGTCCAGGTTTCTGATGGATAAAGACAATTTCGCTTCGAGAAATGACGAGTCACGGGAGAGCAAGAAAGAGCTGCAGCTACCCCTCTCGTACTATTACATTGAATCTTCACACAACACCTACCTCACAGGCCACCAGCTCAAGGGGGAGTCCTCTGTGGAGCTCTACAGCCAGGTACGGAGAGAGGATGCTCAAGGCGTGTGGGCCCCCAAGTCACAAAAACTCACCCCCAGACTCCTTTGGAGAGCTTGTAATCTGTGCTGTGAAATCCGAGCCGCTGTCACGTGTGGGGAAACAGGCTATACACACGGGGGCTCTTTTCTTTGCTGCTTCCTGCCGTTTGTTTGTTTGTGTGTGTGTTTGTTTGTTTGTGTGTGTTTGTTTGTTTTCCCCTCTGTCCAGACTTACCCTTCATAGTAGGCAAAGGAAAAAGAAAGCATTTGTTTGAGACTCACAGCTTTTAGATCTTAGTCAGATCCACTCCTACTAAAATTAAATTTTCCCATGGGAAAGCTATCCAATCATTTCACTAAATGCTAAATAAATCCATAGATTGCGGTGGGAAAGCATAGTAGAAATGCAACTTTCTTGCAGAGTTAATCCCAAAATGTTGTTTGTTTTGTTTTGCTTTGCAATTTGTTAGACAATCAACCCATCCCTATGGCAACCAACTAAAGAAAAAGCTGCAGAGACTGGAGGCACTTTCCTGCAGGCTGAAATTCATGGGAATGCTCTGGGAACCAGTGGGCTCCCCGGAGTGGGAAAAGCACATCCTTTGACCTGACCAGCCAGCTCTCGGTCATTTACGTGCCTGTCTCTGTTACACTGCCCGCAGCTTCCTCCTCCAACGTCTCTTTTCTCCACTCCTCCCAGAGAGCAGGAAAGAGCCAGGTTAGGCCCAGGGGATGGAAGTGTGTGGGTCTGTGCTTGTGGATACGAGTTCAGAAACTGTAATTACATTGTACTCGCACAACCCCAGCCAGCAGCAGTGAGATTCCTTTGTTCTCCAGATTAGTCCAGTGTTCATGCTATAGACTATGACACAGTTTTTCCTCCAAGTTTGGCTTAGCACAGAATGTGTGTTTTACTCTCTGAATTCTAAGGAATCTTTATAATGAAATGGAAATGTGCTCTTAGTGTACAGGACTCTGTCAGGGCTGCTCAGCTGCTTTGTACTGAGATGAGAAAAGCCGCAGCTAGAAGGCGCTGCACCCTGGCAAGTGTACCGGCCAGTCTTCTGTGTGCTTCACATGTTGGCCATTTATTTGCACAAGGGTCTCCAAAGTTAAAAAAATGTTTGTGGAACCAGTGAGCTGGCTCAGTGAGTTAAGACACTTGCCACCAAACCTTATGACAGAGTTCAGACCCTGGAACCCACGTGGTGGAAGGAAAAAACTCCTGCAAGTTGTCCTCTGACCTCCATACATGTGCCATGACGTTCATATGTGCGCGCGCACACATACACACACACACAAATCAGTTAATAAATAAATGTAAATTGTAAAGTTTAAAATCCATTGTTCTGTGGCTAATATATGTGTGTATATCTTCATATCTAAAATGCTCTCTATATTTTATATGTACATACACATGCACATATTCATAGTTATATCTATATCCATGTATATAGTGGAATTTGGGGGGGTCACTTACATATGCTATCATATCATCTGCAAATAGCAATACTTTGATTTCTTCCTTTGCAATTTGTGTCTCCTTGATCTTCTTCATTTGTCTTATGCTCCAGCTAGAACTTCAAGTACTATACTGAATAGATATGGAGAGACTGGAAAACCTTGTTTTGTTCATGATTTTAGTGAAACTGCTTTGAATTGCTCTGTTTTACTTGATCTTGGCTATGGGCTTGCTGTAAACTGTCCCTTGTATCCCTAACCTCTCCAGGACTTTTATCACAAAGAGGTGTTGAATTTTGTCAATGACATTTACTGTATATAATGAGATGATCATGTGGATTTTTCTTTCATTTGTTTATATGGTAGATTGCATTTACTGATTTTCATATATTAAAACATCTGTGTATCTCGGGGATAAAGCCTACTTACTCATGATGGTTGATCTTTTTGATTCATTCTTGGGTTCAGTTTGCAAGTACATTATTGAGCATTTTTGCATCTGTGTTCATGAGGGAAATTCTCTATGGTCTATAATTATTTTTCTTTGTTGAGCTTTCATGTGGTTTGGGTATCAGGGTGACTGTGGTCTCATGAGATGAAATGGGCAATGTCCCTTCTGTTTCTATTTTGTGGACTATTTTGAGGAAGGTTGGTGTTCGTGTTGTTAACTATTCTTGGAAAGTCTGGTAGAATTCTGTGCTAAAACTATCTGGCCCTGGCTTTTTCTGGGGTGGGGGAGACTTTTAATGATTACTTCTATTTCAGTAGGGGTTACAGGTCCACTTAAATTGTTTATCTGATCTTGATCAAACTTTGGTTACTATCAAGAAAATTATTCATGTATTTTAGATTTTCCAATTTGATGGAGTACAGGTTTTTAAAAATATGTCCTTAGGATTCTCCAGGTTTCCTTGGTGTCTGTTGTTATGTCCTCCTTTTCATTTCTGATTTTTTTTTTTAATCTGAATATTCTCTCTCCATCTTCTGGTTAGTTTGAATATGGGTTTTTCTATCTTGATTTTCTCAATGAACAAACTCTTTGTTTCATTGTATCTTTGTACTATTCTCCTTGTTTCTATTTTATTGATTTCAGCCCCGAGTTTAAGTGTTTCCTGCAGTTTACTCCTCTTGGGTGAGCTTGCTTCTTTTTGTTCTAGAGCTTTCAGGTGTGCTCTTAAGTCGCTAGTGTGAAATCTCTCCAATTTCTTTATGTAGGTACTTAGTGCTATGAACTTTCCTCTTAGTGCTGCTTTTGTGTGTCTCATAAGTTTGGGTATTCATTTTCATTAAATTCTAGAAAGTCTTTAATTTCTTTATTTCTGTCTTGATCCATTTTCATTCAGTAGAGAGTTGTTCAATATCCATGAGTCTGTTAACTTTCTGTTGCTTCTGTTTTTGATGTCCAATGTTAATCTATGGTAGTCTGATACGATACAGGAAGTTATTTCAGTTTTCCTGTGTCTGTTGAGACTTGCTTTGTGTTCAAACATGTGGTCAGTTTAGACAAAGTTCCATGAGGTATTGAGAAGAAAGTACTTCTTTTGTTTTGGGTGGAATAATCTGTAAATATTTGTTAGGTTTGTTTGGTTTATAATATCTGTTTACTCCAGTATTTCTCTGTTTAGCTTTTGTCTGGATGACCTGTCCATTGGTTACAGTGGGTATGAAATCTCCATTGTCAGTGCTTGAAAGTCACTGTGTGATTTGAGCTGTAGTAGTGTTTATTTTACAAGCTTGGGTGCCTTGTGTTTGGGGCATAGATGTTAAGCACTGAGCTGTCATCTTGGTGAAACTTTCCTCTGTACTTCATGTTCGAAATCCTAAATTTTTCATTTCCTGAACTCCCTCAGTTTGAGGTTTTTTTTTTTTTTTTTAAACTCTATTTCTAATTTCAGGTCTTAAACAGTTTTACTTATTTTTTTTTTACACTGTTTTTGTGTTTTCCTGGCTTTCTTTAAGGAATTCATTAATTTCCTCCTTAAGGACCTCTATAATCTTCATTAAATTGATTTTAAGGTTTATCTCTTTCTTGTGCCTCGGCTTCTGAATATTGGAATATTCAGAGCCTGCTGTGGCAGGATAGCTAGGCCATAGTGGAGACACATTACCCCACCTGTAATTGATTGTGTTTTTATGCTGGTGTCTAAGAATCTGGGTGTGGGCTGCTGATGGGTCTAGGTGCTGATTTCTGAGTTTGTCTTTATTCAGTGAATGTTTTGTTCCTTGGTTTCTATTTCTCCTCTGGATTTTTAAAGCCTGTGATTGCCTATTTTCCTGGCCTGTTCAGCAGGTGTGCTCACAGGGAATGCCTGCTGGTGTGGGAGGCGGGGTAACTCAGATGAGTTGGGGAAGGAAGGCTGGAGGGAGAAGGTCTTCTGATCCCTTGGGGACAGGGACACAGAGGAAAGGGAGACTGCAACAGGTTTCCAGCAACAGAGTTGGGGATGAGATTGAGGTGATTGGATTTCAGGAGCTGTAGGAGAGGTGTGGCTTTGCCTGAAGTCTACTTTTTGCCATGGGAAGAGCAGCCCTTGGGTTAGCAGGAGGTGCCTGCTGGAGTTGGGGTCTGGGACAAAGCAACAAGTTGGGGAAGGAAGGTTAGGAGGAGATGGTTTACGGGATCCATAGGAGAGGTGGGCAGGGATAAGGGAAAGCTGCAGCTGGCGTTCTGTTGCAGTGCTAGGGAGGAGACTGGGAGATTAAATCTGGTGGAACAGAGAGAGAGGAGAAAGTCCACCCATGGCCTGTGGCTTACTACTGGAGTTGTGGGAGAGTGAGGGGATGGAGGTTAGAAGGGGATGGTCTGTGACCTCCACAGGAGATGCGGGCAGTAGAGAAAAAAGAGTGCAGCTGGTGTTCAGTTGCAGCATTAGGGACAAGTCTGGGGGATTGCATGTGGAAGAACATGGAGCCTTTAATTTTAAGATATTTCATTTCAAAGAACGAAAGATACTTTTAAAAAGAAAAAAGAGAGAGATGACATGTTCTTACATCCCCTTTACCTTCCAACAGTCTCCATTTCTGGTAAACACTTTTCCCACATTGATTGGTTCTCTCCATCCCTGAGTCTGTATTAATTATGATCTTTGACCAAAAAATGCCAATTATCTGTTTTTTACTTAATATCCATCTTCTTTATTCATAAGTGCAAATGCTGACTGATGTGATGTATGCTTGGTTCAGTTTGAAGCTTTATCTCCTGGTGCTCATCATCTGGGTGGATTCCTTCATTGGTCACACAGGTCCTCTTGCAAGGATGCAGGAGCATAGAGCTGGACTGCTGGGATGGAGATGACGGCATGCCCATTATTTATCATGGACATACACTGACGACCAAGATCCCCTTCAAGGTAACGCTTCCCATCAGATCTCAGGGACATTATCTTCATTAAGTAAATCACTCTACAAATTACACCTTAAGTTCTTGTGATAGCTCTGAAAGGCCTTCAGAGTGTTTGCGATACTGTGGGGGGTGTGAACAGGTCTGTTCTTTCTGGGATTTGATCAAGAACTCCTAGCCGGGTGGTGGTGGAACACACCTTTAATCCCAGCACTCAGGAAGCAGAGACAGGTGGATCTCTTCATGGCCAGCCGAATCTACACATATTAAAAGATATGGTGTGTGTCATATTGTTACAAATACAGTATTAACTGTTTCAATGTGTCTTGGGCTTTATTATATTGTATGCTATAACAAAAACAATGTCTCTTACTAGGTCCAGGACAGCGGGAATTGTTATACAGAGAAACCCTGTCTCAAAAAAACAAAAACCAAACCAAACAAAACAAAAAAAAACTATTATGAAATCCCTATGTAACTATAGTTTTTATAACTGTTACCTCATGTTGGTACATATTGTTGCTATTTATTTTCACATGATATAATGATAAATAAAGACAGAGACGGTTCTCTTCCTAGAGAAATTAAAGGCCAGTTATTCTGCTATCTTGGCTGACAAAGGAAATTATCATGAAGATGTCCTGATATCAGGAGATGATTAAGTAATCACCATTAGAAAGTAACAAGAACCAGTTCCACCTGGGAAGATGGATTATCTTGGACAATTGGCCTTATTGGATTATTTTATATTCTACATAGCTTATTAGTTTAGCTATGCAGTTGCTCCTCCCTCAGAGGGTCTTAAGCTACCTAACATCATTTTTCTCTGAGCTAGAGCAAGGTTGGGAAGGAATATTACCATTATATGGGGTAGTAGCTAAAATGTATTTTTTCAACTCATTTTCTATTTGTCATTCATAAAGCTCTTGCACTGTATTTTGGTGAAGGTTTATGTTTATCATTAAAAGTTATGGTGTATGCCATATTGCTACATATAGAGTTTTAACTGTTTCAGTGTGTCTCGGGCTTTATTATATTGTATGCTATAACAAAAACAATGTCTTAAGGTATTCTTTCTTGATATGTACTAGGTCTTTTTTTCAGTTCAGCACAGTAACAGCTGTTCCTTGTAGTATAGAAACAAGGCTCAATATTTGATGTTCTTATACAAAACATCCTAGTCTTTCGTTTAGTGTTTGTAAATTTAGCTATGGGTTCTCAATCTATGGACTCAACCATACAACTATATGTATGTATATGTTTGATATATATATATATATATATATATATCCAAAAGTGGGGTAAAATTATGTCTGTAGTGAATTTGTAGGCATTTTTTCTTGTCATCATTTGGAAATAATATGTTCACATTATACTGGGGAGTCTACATATATAGGGATTATTTGAAGTACATAGGAAGATATATTTATAAAGATTATATGTAAATATTATGCCATTTTTATATGAGATCTGAGTTTCATATAGATTTTAGTATCTGCAGAGGTACTGGAATTATTCTCCCACAGATCTAGAGAGGTACCTATACTTTTGAAAAGATAAAAACTGCTTTTGTCCAGAACCTACAGAGTGCGACAATTAGACACTTTCTATGGCTCAGTACCAGATTTCTGACTACCCTGAACAGACACCTGACTCTAAGGAGCTGTCTGGCTCTTACAGGAAGTGGTGGAAGCCATCGATCGCAGTGCCTTCATCACCTCTGACCTCCCAATTATCATATCCATTGAGAACCACTGCTCACTGCCTCAACAACGAAAGATGGCAGAAATCTTCAAGGTGAGCTTCCTCCAAGACACCATTGTCTTTCAGTTGGTGGTGGTATCTATATAGGACAGATGTGGACCACAACACAGTTGGACTTTAGCCATGAGGCATATTCTGTAAAGACCTAAAAAAAATTGGCACTGCTCAGAGAGCTTAGGCTTTTTTCTAGAATGGTCCTTTTTTCTGGTTTCCTGACCCTTTCCAGAAAGCCTCAGGAGGTAAGGATAGAGCATCTCTCCAGTACGCCTATAATACAAATGGTCACCTGGCAATTGTATGTGGAAAAACTGAAACTGTTTCCAGGAAAGTCACATATTCTTGTGACCCACACTGTATTATAGTGATCCAAGTGAGCAAGTTAGACGGTTCAGAACACTTTCTGTGTTAATAGTAAGCTTCTTTATACAAGGGAAACGTAATGCAGACAGTTAAGGAGCAGATATTCCACAAGACAACCCCTTCTCCAGTGGGAGAACCACTTGTAGAAATGGACCTCTCACAAAAGGAGCACTAACAGAAACATCCTCCAATGTGAATACCAGCAAAACCTTGGCTTTTCATATTGCCTTAGCCTGCACTTGGAAATTTTTGTTTTTGCTTGTTTAAAAATAGCTAGAAATAAAAATCGCCATATTTTCTATCCTTATCTTGAGTGATCACCCTGTGTCTACCTTCCACCCACGATCTCCTTAAGAGAGACAATCTTCTTTGGAGACCAGTGCTCATAAGTCCCTGTGAAAATGGTATCTATTTTTCATTCATTGTTGGAACAGATCCTCCCTGTTGCCTCTTGTCTCTTCTCTTCACTTAGAACTAAACCATATTTTGCAAAACCACAGCCACTCATCAAACTTCTGCTTGCTTTCTTCTTTAATGCATTAGACTCTGCAACATTTTCCTAAGTCATCACAGCTGGCTCCCTCTACAGTCTGACCTAGGCCTTCCCCCTTGCCCTGAACACATCCCCCTTCCTTCCGGCAGGAAACTGCCAGGAGAATAAACAACCTCTTCTTAGTTCCTTTTCCTGGGGTTTCTCAAACAGCTCAACTAAAATGAGCTATCCAGTACATTTAGGGGATGTAAATGTATTTATCAAGTAGCGGCAGACGGCGTTGATGGTGTGTTTCCCTTTGTGCTTTGTAGAGTGTGTTTGGAGAAAAGCTGGTGGCTAAATTCCTATTCGAGACGGATTTCTCAGATGACCCAATGCTTCCCTCACCTGACCAACTTAGGAGGAAAGTGCTTCTTAAAAACAAGAAGCTAAAGGCCCATCAGACGCCAGTTGACATCCTAAAACAAAAGGTAATCCTCCCTGGTTAAGCAAGTTAGGAATATGCCATGGGTTTGGGACAAGGAAATTAATGTCGTTTAAACTTTTCAAATGATCTGCTGCATAGCTATGAACCTTGAGATCCTTTAACTGATACACTTGATTTGGGGAGTTCTGATTCATACACCAATAGATTCTCTCCTCCCACTAACCTCAAGTTTTATTTTGTAAATTGTACCCACGTGAAATGTACCTCCGTTGTTTAATTCATTCTAAGCGGGTTGGTGTGACTCCTGCCTCAGCCTCTTGGATATTGAACTGAAGGTGTGTGCTCCCAAGCCTACCTATACATTCCTAAGAACGTTAAAAATCTTATCACAAGTTAAAACATTTATAGGATATAATTCCTATATCCTGAAGGCCAGCAAGGGTTGTGCCGCCAGTCACCTTCAGGAGCCAGGCGGGAAGACCAGTGTAAGAAGGCCCTGGGAAGATGACAGATAGGACTGAGGACAGCGTGTATGCCCCTGTGCAATTGAACAGCCCTAATCAAATTATTATAAAAGAATTGAAGGGGGCTGGAGAGATGGCTCAGCGGTTAAGAGCATTGCCTGCTCTTCCAAAGGTCCTGAGTTCAATTCCCAGCAACCACATGGTGGCTCACAACCATCTGTAATGAGGTCTGGTGCCCTCTTCTGGCCTGCAGGCATCCACGTAGAAAGAATATTGTATACATAATAAATAAATAAATAAAAAAAAAAAAAGAATTGAAAATATTAACTCCATTGAGCACCCGTGGTGTGTCCATGTAATTCTAACTACTAAGAAGGCTGGAACAGAATGGTTGCTTCAGCCCAAGAACTAGGGATTAACCTGAGAAACACAACGAGACCCTGTCTCTTTTAAAAAGAAAGATGTCGTACTAGCCCAGTGGTTCTCAACCTGTGGGTCGACCCCTTTGGCAAACGTTTGTTTATATATATATGTATGTATATATGTATTACAATTCATCACAGTAGTAAAATTGCAGTTATGAAGGAGCAACAAAAATAATTTTATGATCGAGGTCACCACGACGTGAAGAATGGCTTTAAAGGGTCACAGCATTAGGAGGGTTGAGAACCACTGTGCAAGCCAGAAAACTGTTTTGGAGATGAAGCTCCCCAAGGCCTGAAAGCTTCAAACCTTCTCTATGACCATTTCACTCTAAGGCTTCTCCAGGAGGCTGACTTTTACTTCAGTCCCGAAAGCTGTGAGAACTGCACATGGGCTTTGTAGTGAAACTTTTTAACTAAGATGTTAGCATGTGTATATGTAGATGTAGACACAGCTTCCACTGTATCTCCCCTATTTGTACATTTTTATTATAAAGATAATACAACCACATTTCTTTTTTGAAAACTAGGGAATATGAGAGGATAAGGTGCCCAAGCATGTAACTGGCCTGCCTTAAATGCCCGAGACCGGCCTCCCAGCAGGAGATGCTGTTGCTTCCAGAACACTGTTCCAGAAGATAATTTCCTTTCCTCTTCCTTCTTCTCAATTTTTGTTTGTTTTACATTTTACTTTATTTAAAAAAAAATGGGGAGAAAAGGAGAAAGGAGCATAGGAGTAGGTTAGAAGCAGCAGTTCATATAGAATGATGACTAAGTGCAGTGTGACCTAGATCATCACAGATGGTATGTGTATAAAAGGAAATCTTAGAGAATGCTGCATACTGTCCCAGTGAAGGAGGGAGGGAGGAAGGGGGAAGGGACAGGGTAAAATGCAAAACGATGCACTGGCGATCAAGACGCCTTTAGCATGTTTAAAGAAGGTTGTGGAGCCCTGGTTCTGAGTTGTGTTTGGCTAAGCTGCTGTTCCCAGGCTTGCCTTGCATTTTGTGGCTAAGCTCTCAGTTTTTCCATGCTGGCCATTAACACCCACAAACCTCCCTAAACCCACTTTGAGAAATCTAAGCCTAGCCAGTGAGCATTTAATAATCTAGGCCGGCACTGTAGAATATTTTATCTAGATGTAGACACAGCTTCCACTGTATCTTCCCTATTTGTACATTTTTATTATAAGGATAATACAACCACATTTCTTTTTTGAAAACTAGGGAATATGAGAGGATAAGGTGCCCAAGCATGTAAAGGAATATGCAATCAATCAGGACAACCTGAGTCTACTTCCCTGAACCCATATGGTGGAAGGAGAGAACCAACTCCCTGGAGGGGTTCTTTGAACTCCATACATACTGTAGCATGAATTCACACACAGACAATGTACAATCAACCAATCAATCAATAAATGTAATTTCTAATTTTTCTTAAATGTTCAAAAAGTAAAATTAGTGGTAAGGTGGCACACACCTTTAATCCCAGCATTTGGGGAGGGGGGGGGTAGAGGCAAGCAGATTTCTGAGTGTGGGGCCAGCCTGGTATACAGGTCGAGTTCTAGGACAACCAGGGCTGCACAAAGAAACCCTATCATGAAAAAAGATATGATAACTTTGGTAATGTCCATAGCTACAAGTAAGGGAGTCTGTCTTAATTAGGTTTCTATTGCTTTGGTAAAACACCACGACCAAAAGCAATTTTTGGAGAAAGGGGTTTAATGTAGCATACAGCTCTCAGGTCACAGTGCATCGTCCATCGTCAGAGCAGGGACTCAAGGCAGGAACCTGGAGTCAGATGCCGATGCAAAGGCCATGGAGGGGTGCCGTTAACTGGCTTGCTCCTCACGACTTGCACGATCTGATTTTTTCTAACGCCCAGGACTACCAGCCAGGGATGGCACCATCCACAGTGAACTGGGCCCTTCCACATCAGTCCTCAATCAAGAACATGTCCCATGGGCTCGGTCACAGTCTCTACAGGTTGTCTGGAGACCAGTCTGAGGGGGACATTTTCTCAACCGAAGCTCCTTCTTCCCTAATGACTCTAGCTTACGTCAAATTAACAAAAAGCTAGCCAGCATAGAGTCCAAGAATAGAAATGAAAACAAACTGCGTCTTTACTGTCTTTTAATTCATTTGTTAGTGAAAGAGAGAGAGTTCACATGTGGAGGTCAAAGAACAACCTTTAGGAGTTAGTTTTCTCTCTCCGTCATGGGTTCCAGGGATCCAGTTCAGGCTGTCAGGTTTGTGTGCAAGTGAATTTTAACCGCTGAGCCATCTTCATAGCTTCTATCTTTATTTTCAATCATCTCTAACTGGAATTTAGCAGTTCCTCTGATTATAAATATAGGGAGAAACCCAGTAGTTTAGGCAGTACCTGATGCGTGTCTTTTTTACCAGGAGAAATGACAGAGTTTTTGTCTTACAGATGTTGATAATACCTCCAAGATTTATTTATGTTCATCCTATTCAAAAATTATCACTTGACCCATTATTACATGTTTTGACACATTTCCTAAAATTTTTGTTGTAATGATTTATTTTTATTATCTTTATATATGTGTGTATGCATGTGTGTGTGTGTGTGTGTGAGAGAGAGAGAGAGAGAGAGAGAGAGAGAGAAAGAGAGAGAGAGGAGAGAGAGATTGAAAGAACTTGTGCACATGACTGCAGGCCTAGGTACCTGTGGCAGTCAGAAGCATGGAGTTGAACTTACTATTTTTTAAAATGATTTTATATTATTTTATGTGAATGAGTGTTCTCTTACATGTATGTTTATTCACTGTGAGCATGCCTGGTGCATCAGATCCCCTGGAACTGAAGTTATGCGTGATTGTGAGCTACCACATAGGTGCTGGGAATCAAAACTAGATCTTTTGCAAGAACGAGTACTCTTAAGTGCTGAGCTACCTCCCCAGCCTTGGAACTGAACTTTTACGTACGCACTCTAACCGCTGAGCCATTTATCTAACCCCAGGTTTCCTAACATTTCTACGCCTGTTTTGTTATTTTGATTTATAGTTCAGATAACGTCTGTTGAAAAAGTGTTTTCTAAACTAGCAACTGTTCTTTTGGTCTGCTTGTCCGCAGGGATTCTAGCATTGTTCTCTAGGTCAGAGGACTTTCAATATTATTTTAAGACAGAAAAAAAATGGTTTCTTAGCTGAGACTTCCTGCTCTAAAGTTGACAGGCTGTTTCACTCAGTCCCTTGGGACTGATGCTAGTTTTCCAAGCATCAGAGTTTTATCTTGCAGGACTTTTCAAAGAGCCTAGGAATCTGGACACCACACACACATTCCTTGTGATTCTTTGTAATAGCTCCCAAGTTCTTCAAGGATGTTGACATTTGCCTAAAAAGCTGTATCCATAGGTTTTAGGGTCAAAGCCTAGGCTATGGCAGCCGCAACAAGCTGAGCTCAACCACCGGCTCTCAATGTGTCAATTAGAAGCTCACATAATGGTATGATGAGAAGAGATCCACTTAGTGTGGTTCCCCTAGGAGAAAGAACAGATAGAGAAACTCAGGGACCCCAAGTCCGTCTTGAGGGCACTGGCAGGAACTTCCACTTCAAATGGAAGGCAAGAGGTCTGCACTGTTAACCAGTCCTGGTAACGGTGTGGTCAGCTCATTGTTGTCTCAGCTCTAGACCTGTCGGGTGGTCCTAAGAAGGGCTTATTCCTTGAGGGACAACGAGATCCTTGGGAAAATACTGCTGATTCAGGGAGCAGCCTTCCATCGTGGATACCTGCTCTCATGGGGGAAGGGGAGGTCTATTCAAAGAGCTTCTACTGTTCTGAGAATCCAAGGTGACTTAAGAGGAAAGGTTAAGGACAGTGCCTTACCTCTGTTCCTTAGTCTTGATGGGAGCTAAGACAGGTTAGGTAGACACTGCTTGAGTGATTTGTCATGCCTGTGTGCCTGAGAAGCAGATAACACCAAGTAAAGAAACCGACACAAAATGAAATCCAAGATGCTATGGTGGTTTTCATTATCTGTGGGCCCAAATGAGGAGTGAAAGCCTCCAGTGAGGGCACCATTTCTATTGCATCCAGATACGTTCTTCCTCTCTCAAGCAAACCCAAAGGGACAATCCACTTTTATCACCCTCGTTAGCACCAGGTGAGGGTTTTAAAGGTTTAGGAAGCTCAGTAGGTTACATTGCGGTCTTTAATTATTACTGTCTTACAGGCTCATCAGTTAGCATCCATGCAAGCACAGGCTTTCACTGGTGGGAACACCAACCCCCCACCTGCCAGTAATGAGGAAGAGGAAGATGAAGAGGATGAATACGATTATGATTATGAATCCCTTTCCGATGGTAAGAGAAACAGAGCTGACTTCTGTGAGCAGGGAAATGCTTAGGTGATTTTTCTTTTTCCCTCAAAATAAATCTGTAGCTCCACAGATAAGCAATAGAGATTATTTTAATAATGTCTGGGAGTCTGGGAATCCAGTCACTTAGTGAGGACTAAGGAAGATGAGGGCTCTGTTAAGTATCACAGCCACACCCCAGGAAGACAGGGACAGCACAGGAAGCATTGGGAAGAGGGGGTGTGGTGGTGTCATTCCTAAAATGGGCGTGTAGAGGAAGAGATGCAATTATAGCAAACGTGCACACACACGCACATGCACACACACATGCATGCATGCGCACACACACACATACACACATGCACACATGCGCACGTGCACACATTTTCAGCCTTTGCGTTTATGAAGTGGTAGAAGTTCTTGGCGCAGGCGTTTCAGACTGTGCCTAAATCCCCTCTCTCTCCTGCGACTTCCGCAGGGGACAGCTTCGCTGCTCTATGTTCTCTTCCTCGTTTGCTGTCTCTCTGACAGTCTGGCACCAAGCAGAGGAGTTTCATTCTCCTGTCTCTCTGTTCTCAGATTACTAAACCAACCAGACATTTCCTTCCGGCCCCACCAAAGAGAAAAGCGTGAGCAATGGCTAACGACACAATTTTTAAAAGTCAAATAAATCATGTTAACTAAAGGTTACTAGTGAAGCATTCTTCTTAAGTCAGAGTTGCGTGTGACTAGTGTTATTAGCTGGAGATGACAAAGTTTTTCTCCTGCAACATCCTGATAGTGGGCTTTCACTTTGCTGACCCCTGAGGGGCAACTGTATTCATATGAGAAAATGCCAAACTTTTTTTTTTTAAGGAGACAACATCTCTTTTGTTTAGTACTAGCTGGGCTGGAACTTTGATTCTCCTGACTTCATCTCCTACATCGCTTTATATATTGGACCGAGGGTTTGGCTCAGTGGTGAGCATTTGTCTCATGTAACAAAGGCCCTGTAATCCCTGGCACAGACTTGCTGCTTAAAGTAGACTATTTGCTGAATGTGTAGTAACCCCACACTAGTAGCCACTGATGTAAAGACCACTAAGCCACCCCACATGTCAGCTTCTCATCTCATGTTTATTTCCAGTTATGTTCAGTTCAGGGCTTCCATTACTGGTGACAGTCTAAATACGATACTGAGCAATATCCATTTAAATTTAGCCTTCACAATAGCTGATTGGTTCATGCCATCAGTTAAAGGCGTACTTATTTGGTGTGAAATGCCATGAGGTAATAAAAAAGATAAAATTTGAATGGAGTCAAGACAATCTATTAACGTCCTAGTCCTAAAAAGTCATGAGAATGCAAAACGTTTTATACTGACCCATGCATGCCCCATAGCAAAACAAATTGATTCAGAGATTAAATGAACAATTATACTTAAGAAATTAGCCAATCTGCTGCTTTTAATCCCTGCACTTGGGAGGCAGAGGCAGGCAGATTTCTGAGTTCGAGGCTTCCCTGGTCTACAATGTGAGTTCCAGGACAGCCAGTGCTATACAGAGAAACACAGACTAAGAAAGGGAGGGAGGGAGGGAGGGAGGGAGGGAGGGAGGGAGGGACAGAGGGAGGGAGGAAAGAAGAAAGAGAGGGAGGGAGGAAAGAAGGAAGGGAGGGAGGAGGAGGAAGGGAGGGAGGGAGGGAGGGAGAGAGAGAGAGAGAGAGAGAGAGAGAGAGAGAGAGAGAGGAAATCAATTCAGGTGTTATTTGTTCCTGTAATAAGTTGGCCCTCCAGAATATAAATTCTTCTCAATCACTAATTACTCTTGGGTTTTTTTGTACTTTTGAGAACAGAAATGCAGGCATTTTAAATTATCATTCTCAGTATTTATTTGTTTGCTTGTTTGCAAATAGCAAAATGAATCTAGGAGAGAAAGATCTTTCCGGTTTAGTTTTGTGCAGAGGAGTAAAATTTAACTCTGCTCCCCACTGAATTTTTGAATTAGTTGTATGCATTGTTTAAGCTGGGGTAGAGGACTTGTTGAAAGCGAAAGCCCGCCAGGCTCTACTCCCATGGTGTGTGAGACTTTAGACACTTATTTCTCATCACTATGAGCCATAAGTCTCTCTAATATGTCATGAAAAAGTTCTATCCAATGTTTGGTGATGTCCTCCTCTCCAACCCCCCCCCACCGGACACACACACAAACACTTCCAACACAAACATCTGGGACCTATAACAGCTAAAGTCAACTGTCGTTGCTATTCAAAGATCCCTCTGGCTAGCTGGTTTCCAAATAGGCCTTGTGAAGTTTGTCCCATGACAGCTCACATAGGCAACTGTTAAATGCCTTAGCAAACCTGCTTTTGATGGTGGTTGCAGTGCCTCTGTCATCTCTCTGAGTTTAATTAAAGACGAATCGGAATGTTATAGTCCTCACTAACTAGTAACACGAGTGGGCAGCTTATGGTATGATTAGCATTAACAATGTTTGCTCTTTTTTTTTTTTTGAGACATTGTCTCACACAGCCCAATGTGTCCTTGAATGTTCTATGCAGTCAAAGATGACCTTGAAGTCCTGGTCCTTTTGCATTCACTACCCAAGGACCAGGACTGGCTGCATTTCTTTTATTGTTAGTCCTTGTATCTGCGACAGTCAAAATATTAGGTCTCCGAGACACTTCCATTTCACTTGTCTTGTGATCTAAGCTGCTGTAACCAATGCTTTGCTCCACACCTTCATTCGATTTATCTGGCTCTGTCTTAATTCTCCTTACCTGTGTTCTCTTTCTGATTCTGTAGCAGATCTCCTTACTGCTTCCCCTGTTCCTAACAGTCAGGAAGGTAAACACCGTTTGAACCTGGTATTTTAACTGCATGGATGTCTGCATTATGTCCCTACTGTCTTGAGTCTGGTTAGCATGAAGCTGTGGCACTTCTGTGCATAGCAATGCAGTGAAATTGTTGCTCTCTTGGTAAGCTGCATGGCCCTAATTTGCTATAAGGATATTTTGCTCTAAGCATTTGTGGTCCAAAAAGAGGGTAAATCTAGAATGAGATACTAGCTCTCCTATTTTTCACTTTAAAAGAGTACAATCATAATATACTTTTCAGACTTTTACACTTGTTCTAAATAGAGATGTGAAATATGGCAAAAATCTAAGCTTATCTACTATGCTTAGACATATTTGCATTCTTGGGGCTGGAGAGATGGCTCAGTGGTTAAGAACATTGGCTGATCTTCCAAAGGACCCAGGTTCAATTCCACCCACATGGTAGCGCAGAGCTGTCTGTAGCTTAATTCTATGGAATCCGACATCCTCATACAGGTATACATGCAGGCAAAACACTAATGCACTAAAAATAAATAAATTTGAAAAATATTTGCATTCTTAAGATTATAACTTAAAAGCAACAATCATGAAAACTTTACTTTCCAATTAATTTAATTTGGGGAAGCTTTGTATCATGCATAACATAAGTCTTCTCCCATGAATATTGGCTTTGACATTTCAAGAAGCAAATAGCTTCATTTCGGAGGAAGGCTGGATCATGAATGTGCCACCTAGAAATGATTCAGCCTCTAGCTCCTCCTGAGACCTACAAATGCCCTCAGGTTCTTGACACAGGATACAACCAGCTGTGCAAGATGAGCCTTTTCACTCAGATGATGTCTGAATGGTACCAAAACTACCGGTGAATGAGCCTATAAAACGGAAGCTAAATATATAACCCAAGTTTCAAGATTGTGCTTCAAGCTATCGTTTTAGTAGCACATAGCCAGCCCCTCAGTCTTGGAAGTACATGCAGGTGGCTGGACACCCTCTCACAGAGCCCTGAAGGACACATTCAGTTCTTTTTCACTGAGGCCTAATAACTCACTTCTAGACAATATTCTGGAAGACAAACCTGAAAACAAAGCGTGTGCTGACAAGCTTCAGTTTGAGTACAATGAAGAAATCCCCAAGAGGATAAAGAAAGCGGATAACTCTTCTTGCAGTAAGGGAAAGGTAGGAGACGGCTCTTCTTCATGGGTTCTTGAACCGTGGTAGTCTGTCCCTTTCTTCTGGGACTCCACTCCTCACATGCCAAACACCGTGTCGTGATGTTGTGAGACACCTGCCTGCCACTTGTCACTATCTCCCTCGGTCAGTGCCTACTGGAGGTATATGTGTGGCAGGCACTAGAGTGGGCAGGGGATGGATGACTTAGTGGTAGAGACAGACCTGGAAATCATGTTTGGAGAGAAGTAAAAAGCAGAGTGATCCCATTGTATTGTCGGTCAGATCAAGGGCAGACTGTCATGAAAGACGCTGTTTAAGAATGAAGTTTTGCCCAGCAGGGCATTCAGGCTAAGAGGACAACTTGGTTATTCAAGAAATTGTGGAAGGTTCTTAAGTCATTTACACCAAGAAAATAAAAGGAAGCAGATTATGAAGAGTTAGCAAGATAACATGAGGCACCCAGGCCTCGTCCTCAGGTGCCTCATCGCCTATAGACACTGAAAAAAATCCTTTCAGACAGCCGCGGTGTCAGAAAACTGGGCCAAGACCTGTAAATCATCAATCTTTTATTAATTTAAGAAATGTTCATAGACTATGTATATATAAGATAATGGCTTCTTCCTGAAGACATAGGAGATGAAGTAGACACACTCCTTTCTCTCAGAAAGGTGCTGGCGTATGAATGTGAAGAAATACTGAGTACCAGGAAGCAGGTTAGCAACATGGCAGACTACAGAGAAAGTGCTTTGGGGATCCGGAAGAAGGGAACTCTACCTTCTGGTTAAATGGTGTCATTTTCCCTTGAAAGGTGTATGACATGGAACTGGGAGAGGAGTTTTACCTCCCTCAGAACAAAAAGGAAAGCAGGCAGATTGCACCGGAGCTCTCTGACCTCATCATCTACTGCCAGGCAGTAAAATTTCCCGGTAAGAGTAGTCAATATCGTCTCTAACATTTAAAGTACTAAAGGTTAAAAGTGCACTGCTTGTCTAATGGGGCATTATGAATACTGAACTGTGTGACTGAAATAAATAATTCCCATAGATGATCTCTGACTTTTCATAATAATTCCCCAAGGTTAGTGGATTTCCACTTGTATTTTTCAAATTATTTGTTTATCTTATACTCAAGGGGTGTTTTGTCTGTGTGGGTATGTATGCATCTTGTGTGTGCCCGGTACCTTCAGACACCAGAAAAGGGCATTGGACCCTTTGGAACTGGAGTTATGGACATCTGTGAGCCACCATACAGATGTTGGGAACTGAACTCAGATCTTGTACAAGAACAGGAAGTGTTCACTGGCGAGCCAGCATCCCAGCTTCCTCTCACACATTTCTGAATAAAACAAATTCTCAGAAACAAGTAATTTCGCCAAGATTTCAGAGCATACTTGCAAAGAGTCTTATTTGAAAACTTCACACTTTAGCAAAGAAAGAAATTTTGCAGCTGATGTACTTAAAAAAAAAAAATGTAGCGCTCAGATACTCAGGTCTCCAGTCCAGTTCCGTTCAGGGCAGACGCCGTCCCTCCATCATTCCCTTGCCAGTCACTGTGTTTGGGAAGGGCAGCAAAAGCAAACTAGCACCAGAGACTTCCAGACTCAAGTTCAGTCTGAGATTTCTTCAGAATCCCCAGCAGAAGTGTTACTGTTTCCCACTGAGTTATTTTCCCAAACCTTAACCAACTCCTGTGACTGAAGGGCTGCAGTCTGAATGTCTGGTACTGGGAGGATCGCCACAAGTTCAAGGCTAGCCTGGGCTTTGTAGTCCCACACCTAAACTGTGGAGTTGAGGTTCTGCCCAAACCAACTGAAAGAAGTTGTGGGAAAGGAGGAAGTTTTCCCACTTGGCCATTTCTAGACACACAAAGAACTCAATGTGATGAACTGCTTCCAAAATGTATTCAGCTGGGCAGTGGTGGTGCACACCTTTAATCCCAGCACTCTGGAGGCAAAGGTAGGCCCATCTCTGTGAGTTCAAGGTCAGACTGGTTAACAGAGTGAGTTCCAGGACAGATAGGGCTGTTACACTGAGAAACCCTGTCTAAGAAAGAAAGAAAGAGAAAAGGTGTACTCATCATTTAGTAATGATAGGTCTATAAATCTAAAGCCTGTCTCCAAAGTCCTTCCCTAAACAACATCTACTCTGCCTTTCTCATCAGAGTGTATTATCAGTGTGTTATCAACCCAATCTTGTGTCCCACAAATGGAGACCAAGAGGGGAAAAATTAAGTTTAAGTAAAAAGGTAGAAGTCAGCAAATAATAATCTCATACAAAACAAATAAAAAAAAAAACTCTGGTGCCCAAGATTCTGAGAAGAGAAAAGTGCTAGGATCGGAGGGTTGTCTGAATGTCGGGATATGGCTCATATAAAGTTGGCCTGGACAGAGGAGTCAAAATGCCAACCCTCATGTTTTCAAGATGTGCTGAAATCAGGTCCTGGCAAGCATCACTTCTCACATTGCACATGGCAAAGGGGCCAGAGATAGTCAGCTGCTGTCTTATACAATACTGGAGATGTAGATCTTAAGATAATAGTGCCCATCTTATACACCATAAGAAAAAGATCATAGAATTTTCTTAATTTTAAGTTTTCTTCTAGAAACTATAAAACTTTTGGCAGTTACTACTGCTCATTGGCTAGTAAATCCTGTTGAAGTAGATATAAATGAATATGCAGCAAATATTTCAAAACATACAAGAAGGTAACATTTAAATTTAGCTTTATGTGTTTGGAGAGATGGCTCAGCGATAAGAGCACTTGCTCGTCTTACAGGTTTGGGTCCCACAACTCACATTAGATGGCTCACAACCACCTCTTATTCCAGTTCAGGAGATCCAGTGCCTTCTTCTGGCCTCTTTGAGTTCCAGACATTCACATGTTGCACATACCCACAAGTAGGCACACGTACATGCACCTAATTTTTTTTTAAACGTTTTAGTTCCACAGGGCATAGTTTATATCATATGATTAAGTATGCTATGGTCATACTTAATTCCAGTAAAGATGATTTCATTACAGAGGAAGAAAGTTAACCTGTCAGCATCAGATCATGTATGAAAGCCATATTGTTCAAGAATCCAACACAAGCCTGTAATCCTAGCACTCAGGTGGCAGAGCCAAGGGAATTGCCACAGTTTGAAGTCAGTGTGGTCTAATGTAGTAAATCCAGGCCAGCCTGAACTATATAGAGTGAGCCCCTGTCTCAAAAAAATCACTATTGCTTCATGTTTCATTCTTTATAAATACAGGTAACACTAGAAATACAGAAACAATTCAACTGGCTTTGTCTTTTCTCAAGTATTGAGGAAACCAGGAGCACAAATTCCCATAGATATTTCAATTCAGTGGGAAAGATAAAGTTATAACAGGTAGAGAACTGTGATAGTGTTAGGGGGTCATTTGGCCAACTCCTGACTTGAAGTACAGGATGAGCTTGTAGTTGTTTTTTGTCTGTCTGTTTGTTTGTGTGTTTTTTATATAGCTTTGACTATTCTCTAAGTAGACCAGGCTGGCCTTGAACTCACAGAGATCCACCTGCCTCTGCCTCCCGAGTGCTGGGATTAAAGGAATGCACCACCACGCCAGGCTATTGTTTCTGGCATATTGTTTTTAAAACATTTACAAAGCACCTATTATCTTCTTAAGATTTTATTTTTATTATTTTGGGCTGTGTGTGTGTGTGTGTGTGTGTGTGTGTGTGTGTGGTGTGTGTGCACTTGAATGTTAATGCTTCACACATGCCCCAAGAGATGAGAAGAGGGTCTCAGATCCTCAGAGCTGGCATCACAAGCTATTGTGGACCACCCTATATGGGTACTGGGTACTGAACTCAGGTCCTCTGCAAGAGCAGCAGGTGCTCCTCGCCAGTGAGCCATTCCTCCGACCTGACACAGCACACAGACTGTATGTGCTGTTTGTTAGCAACTGAAGTTTCTCTCCCTTGTCTATAATTTTAATCTCCTTTCTCAGACTAACTAAAACTATGTCCTTCAAGTCACTGATACAATAACTTCTAAAAAGTAACTGTTATTATAAATTTTTCCGATGTACAGGAGAAAATTATAAAATGTTTTTGTTACCTTGCTGGTTTTGTGTTTGATGAGTTAATGTTACCTTATCAGTTTCAGTGAATCTCACTTTTCAGCATTTTCTAATCTGGTCCCAGGAGCACAGACTGTAGTCCACCTGCTTCTGAGGCTGAGGCAGGATTATGAATTGGAAGCTTATCTACAGAATGATTTCAAGACCATCCAAGGCAACTTAAAATGACCCTTTCTCAAACTTTTTTTTAAAGTGGGATTATTAGCCCAGTAAACTTTTCTGGTGTTTGTAAAGACTCAAGATTCAATCCCCTGTGCTAAAAATTCAGACGGACAGACACACACACCCCACAAAACCTACTGAGTGCAGGGTGACCCAAACCTTGGTGACCTACCAAGGCAGTGGTGGTGCACACCTTTAATCCCAGCATGCAGGAGACAGACACAAATGGATGTCTGTGAGTTCCAGGCCGGCCTGGTCTACAAAGCAAGTTCCAAAACAGCCACAACTGTTGCACAGAGAAACCGTGTCTCAAAAAACAAAACAACAACAAAAAATAGGGTAAAATAACTTTTGCGCAGTTGTGAACTTATTCATTGGCCCAGCAAGAAGCAGAGCTTGGGTGTCTCAATTCCCAGAGATGTGGTCTTTCTTGGGATCAAGGAAATAATTGAGGCTTCGTGTTTTATATCTGCATAGGATTTATTTCTCAGTTACATTTAATCCTTACATCACATCTACATGCCTTTTCCTCCTCCTTCTAATAGGAAAAGGGCAGAGGGAGGCATGGTATTTTCTCACGTTACTCACCTTCCCAATTTTTGGATAGTTCCCAGCAAGCCCTCCTGTATACCCAACTCTCATCAGACATACTCTGTGGCTTTATCATTCCCTGGCCTTTTGCTTAGACAGAATATACTCAAACTGAGGATGCAGCTCAGTGGTTGACTTCTTGCCAGCATTCGCAAGGCCCTGAACCAACCAGTATCATAAAGAATAAATAAGAATGCTCTCAGTTCGGCCAATCCTCTCTAATCCCCTTTACGAATTCCCAAATTCCAGGACCAAGAGTCTCTATGAAGAATCTGAGAGTCTTCAGCCCATCTTGGTGCCTTCTTTTGCAGGCCTCTGCATGTAGTTATTGGCATGTGTTTGTGTCCCTGCCTAGTCTCTAATTATTTCTGATGGCAAATATCCCCAGTACTTACCAAGTTGTGTGTTTGTGTGTGTGTATGTGCAGAGAAAATTATTAGGCAAGGTTTATCATGGCTCTTATCTGTGGTTTTGGCCAACACCAATATCCTCTCTGTGCCTTAGTTTTTTGAATCCATTGTCTGTACTCCTCCCCTCCCCCTGGTTTTATTGAAAATAGATTATTTTCTCATCAGTATATCCTGGTTACAGTTTTCCTCCCTCCATTCCTCCCAGATTCCCATCCCCCAAATTCCAGACCCACTCCCTTTCTGTCTCTCATTAGAAAAGAACAGGCTTCTAGGAGATAGCAACAGAACGACAATAAAATACAATAAGATAAAGCAAGAGCTGTCACATCAAAGTTGGCTCATAAAACCAACAGAAGGAAAAGAGCCCAAGAAGGTATAAGAATCAGAGTCCCACTTGTTCACACACTCAAGAGTCCCTTAAAAAACACTAAACTGAAAACCAGAGCGTATAGGCAGAGGGCCTGTTGCAGACCTGACAAGCCCTCTGCTTGCCGCTTCCGTCTGTTAGTTCCTATGACCTTTGCTCAGCTGATTTAAAGAGCCTTGTTCTTCCTGTGCCCTCCATCCCCTCAGGCTCCTCTGACGATGGCTGAATATTGCAGAATATCATTAGGGATCATTTCATTGCTTCTTTTTTTTTTAGCCGATAGACTTTTGTTTACCCTTTGTCTCTGGGCTATCTGGTCCCTGGTTCTTGGCCACCCCAACAGCATTGGATCTGATCGTCTGCTGGTGTTCTTTGAAGGGTCACCATTTTCTGAAGAAGCCCTCCAAACTGTGCAGCATAAAGAGTCACTCTCCAACCGTGTAGCCATGAGCAATAGGGGTGATTCTGTGTCAGCTGGCTTCCTTGGAGCCTGTAAGTTATTCTTCTTATGCTAGAGCTGGGTCTGTGGTGTGCACTCATTTTTCTCCTTTAGCAAATATATACTAAGTTCCTGCTGTGCGCCGGGCACCATGCCTGACATAAACGGTCCAGGGAGTGATTGGACCAGAAATGAGAAAGAAAAGATATGAAACATCATCATCATATTATCTTTCCCACGGAACCCTCAGACCTGCCCTGGGAGTAAATTCCTATAATCCCACCCATTTTTTTTTTAAGATACAGAAAAACAGAAGATTTGGTCAAAGATTATGCCAGAAGGATTTTTTTTTTTTTTTTTTTTTTTTTTTTTTTTTTTTTTTTGGTTTTTCGAGACAGGGTTTCTCTGTGGCTTTGGAGCCTGTCCTGGAACTAGCTCTGTAGACCAGGCTGGTCTCGAACTCACAGAGATCCGCCTACCTCTGCCTCCCGAGTGCTGGGATTAAAGGCGTGCGCCACCATCGCCCGGCTTCAGAAGGATTTTTAAAATTATTTCTTTCATTTTTTGAGACTATAATTACATCATTTTCTCCTTTGCTTTTCTCCCTCCAAACCATCCTGCTTTGCCCTCCTTTCTCTCTTCCAAACTTATGGCCTGTTTTTTTCATTAATTGTTGGTGTGTGTGTGTGTGTGTGTGTGTGTGTGTATGTGTGTGTGCATATGTATGTGTATGCATGCATACATGTATATTCCTAAATGTAGTACAACCTGCTCAGTCTTATAATGTTACTTTTCTATATGTTTTGGGGATGACCATTTAGTATCAGACAACCAGTTGGTGTGCTCTTCCCTGGGAATGAATATTTTTCCCTCTTTCAGCATTCCTTAATTGGCCATTACAGAAAACCACAACCAATCAGAAGGCAGAATTGTGGAGCCCAGTCCCAAAGGATATAGCTATAAAACAATTCCTGCACCTAAGGCTTAGGAATCATTGTGGAAGAGGAGCTGGGGCTGGAGCTGGAGAGATGGCTCAGTGGTTAAGATCACTGACTGCTCTTCCAAAGGACCTAAATTCAATTCCCAGCAACCACATGGCAGCTCACAGCTGAATAATTCCAGTTCCAGGGGACCCAACACCCATGGCAAAACACCAATGCACATAAAATAATAAATTAATTTTTAAAAAGCTACAGAAGAGGGGCAGAAAGATACTAAGCCAGAGGACCCGAGAGTTTGCTATGAAACTGTGTTTCCTAGGAATGTCAGAAGCTACACCCATAAAGTCTCATCAGCATGAACTGATCAAAGACAGCAGCAATAAGCATGCTAATATGAATGGGGGAAAGCCCACAAGGCCTCAACAAAGGATACAGAAGGCTCATAATGTCGACAGTATTACTCCCTGGCTCATACTCATTCTTTCATCTCCCCAAGTTAAGTTGTTAGCCTCTAGGAATTAAATTTTAACTGTAGCATTTTCTGTATGTGTAATTTTAAAACTCTTTCAGGCACGCAGTTTATTAGGCGTGTGTGTGTGTGTGTGTGTGTGTGTGTGTGTGTGGTTGTATGTGTGCTGTAATTTAGGGATTATTCTTTAATAACCACACAATGTTGGTTGCATCTGTCTAGAGATTAAATAAACTTTGCTCTAATTGCCTACAATACTGTTATCAGCCATGTTGAAGTGTAATGGGTCTTCTGTGCTGTGGAACAGGGGACTAGTAGGACTTCAATATAAACATTAATGAGGATGGAAAATGTGGGGCTCTCTTGCCTGTGGCTTTTGGCTTATTTGTTTTCTTTTTATGAGAACAGGCCTGTCAACTCTAAATTCATCTGGCTCTAGCAGAGGGAAAGAAAGAAAAAGCAGGAAGTCCATTTTTGGCAACAATCCTGGCAGAATGAGCCCAGGGGAGACAGCATCATTTACCAGAACATGTGGAAAAAGTAAACTCACCTTCTCTCGGTGTCTTCGCTTGGTCTTGCATGCTGGGTGACTCAGATACTTTGCTGTCTAACTTCCCTTGAATTTTGAAATTCACTTTTATTTTCATAGATGTTTACACTATCCAAGTACAGCATAAATATCTTCTGGTTGTTAATTTATCCTTTTAACTCACTAAAAATAGCATTTTTTTTAAACTGAAGACCGTCTCACATTGTTTGCTTCAAAAATAAAACTGGAAGCACCTTCCACCGTTCAAACGGTTCCTGTAACCGTGCCATTTATCCACAAGATACATCATTTTATTTCTAATTACCTTTTATTGCAAAAGTAATAAATTCCCCCTAGTTAAAAGCCCCGCTGATGCATAAGATGATTAAAGTTCCTGTCTATTATCAGTGCCCTAATGCTGTTTCTCAGAGTTGAACACTGGGATGTTCATTACAATTTATTTGAAAAAATAAAATTCTTTTAAAGAAAATCCGAACAGGATGCAATCCAACAGAGTTGTGTAACTTTTTGCTTGCTCTCAGATGTTGCACACCTGTCTGCACATTTTCCCGCCTTATCTCCTTCTGTGCCTGGGTGCTACTTCTTTTTTAAGAATACTTATCTATGTCACTGATAGAATATCTGTTTTGCTTAGGGGCTTTGTTTTCTTGTGGGTTTTATACAGTTACACACAGACTTTGTGTTTGTAAAGATTACCCACAGAGAAGTGATATACTGAGGCAAAAGGACTTCCAGAAGTCCAATTTAAGTTGGTGTTGCTGTCTTTATGTTATTACTTGTTTCATTTGTTTATTTATTTAATACTTTCTTACTTACTTATTGGTGCTGGCAATTAAATCCAGATCCTTGTACATGCTAGGTGTGAGCCCTACCACTGAGTCACACCCCATCTTGCTACCCTCATTTTAAAACTCAATAACCACCATGTTCAAGGCAGCAAACTAACTCACAAGTAAAATTTAAGGTGTAATCTGCTCTGTTTCTTTGTTGCATCTGTGCATTTGGTGTGCTGTTGAGATTCCTCTTTCTAAAATCTTTGAGGTTTTTGACATTAATCAGAGGCTGATCTTTTCGGGGGGTCTAGGTTCCTTTGAAGGAATTCGACAAACCTGGGAGGAATCTTCTCCACTCAGCCCAAGCACGTCCCTCAGCGCTATCATTAGAACTCCCAAATGCTATCATATCTCATCACTGAATGAAAATGCCGCCAAACGTCTGTGTCGCAGGTATTCTCAGAAACTGATCCAGCACACAGCTTGCCAGCTGCTGAGGACCTACCCCGCGGCGACCCGAATCGACTCATCCAATCCCAACCCCATCATGTTTTGGCTCCACGGCATACAGCTTGTAGCCCTCAACTACCAGACGGATGGTAAGGGACCTGTGTCCTCACCTCTCTCTTCATCTTCTCATGTTCAGCAAACACAATCCCATAAACATCTGTTTTCTCGAGATCGAGTCCCAGACTGGGGCACACATCTGTGGGGGAGGAAGACAAAGGATGGGAAATAGGAAGTTGATAGGGCTTGAGCCCCTGATGTTTCGGAGTTGATCTGATAGAGAAGTGGGCGGTGACTCTTTTTAAAGGGCACCTTTTAAACTCAAACTGCTCCTGATTGACCTATAGCCAGCTGAAATTTAAAGCTTTACGAGGGCAGGAATTTCCTACCATCGCTTAATTAACCCCTTGTTCCAGCAATGCAGAAAGAAGCTCTGTGATTAGGGTGGCGCCGTACCTCTTTCAAATTCCAGCACTCCAGAAGCTGAGGGGCAAAGCTGCCACGCCCAAGGATGGCGACATAGAGAGCTTGTCTCAAAGAAAAACGTAGTAGATTCAGATGCTTGGTTCCAAGGCTGCCGAGAGCCTTGCAGTGATTAAGTTCAGGATCTCTGCGAGTCTGGGGAATAAGACATTTTGTTTGCATGTGGTGCTGAAAGAAAATGAGTGATGTTTCCTAGAAACTCGTGCGAAGTCTAGCCTTTCCTTTGACCAGCGGAGGTGCCAGCAGCCCCACGGCTCATCTCACGTGACCCAAATCTGAACCTGTGCTGACCCAGAAACCACAGTGTGGCCTCGCCTGGAGCTGAGATCAGACCACAGCTCTTAGCTCCGGGTTAGCGAGGTGCCTGTCTCTGGTGTCAGACACCAGAGACACCAGCTTACCAATATTCGCCATGCTTTATTTCACCCTCAATCGTATTTACCGTTTCCAGCTGAGCGTAGCTAGGACGGTGTAGAAGCAGCAGCAACTCAAAAAGCTCCTAGCACAGGAAAAGCGCGGCTCAAATGTTCACTCTCCTTAAGGGCATTTGATAAGCTGTAAAAGCAGGATGATTTGGACTCACAAATGGAAATAATGGCAAAATACTTTCAGAGTCGTAAAAGTTTTCTTTTTCTTTTCTTCTCTGTCGCTAGTGGCCTGAGCTTCACCTCCTTGGCTCTGTCTGTAGCCCTGGGTCCAGGGTTTCCTGGGCTATTATGCTACTTAAGTTTTTACATGCACTGAAAAAGCTAGCAGAAAGCTTTCCTTAAGGAAATGTACGAACGCCTGGCTTGGGACGTGCCCTGCTCCTGAAGTGCCAGGACTGGCGCAGACATGCTGGCTCCAAGGATGGCAAAGGGCACCCTGGCTAAAGGGAACATAAGAAGCTGCCACTCTTGAGCACACACCAGTTCCCAACGCAAACTGAACCTGAGTGCCTTCCACTCCCCTCTGCAGACTCCAGTCTCCCCAGATCAAGCAGGGAGCACCTGTTGGGGCTGCCCCACTCAAGGGACGCAGATGACTGCTGCGTGGCCATCCGCAAGGTTCTCTGCACAGCCTGGCAGCCAAGGAGGAGTGCTCTCCTCTGATCCCTCTCGGTTCAGTTCACATGCACTGCTGTTGTACACGGCACTAGCCACGTGCAGCATCTACGGGTCCCTTTGTAAGACAGGCCTTCATTCATGCGATCGGGACTGAAGTCTCATTCAACACTTTGTACACAGTAGATGATCAATAAATATGAGTTGCTGTGAGCTGAAGCAGTCTGTCCTGGTCAGCCTCACTGCAATCTGAACCTATGGGTCTGGGGGTTTTTGTTTGTTTGTTTGTTTTTTGACCCAGATCTGTTACTTTTCATGTTGACACTTTAGTTAATCCCCACTGTGACAAAAATACCTGACAAGAAGCCACTTAAAGAAAAAAAAAAAATGGGGGTTCCCAGCACCCACGTGGCAGCTCACACCTGTCTGTAATTCCAGTTCCATATCGTCTGAGTCCCTCACACAGCCCGCATACATGCAGGCAAAATACCAGTGTACATAAAATAAAAGTAAATAAATTATAAAAAAGAGCGAAAGAGAAAGAAAGAAGGAAAGAAAGGTGTCTTATTTAGTGTTTCTTTTGCTGTGAAGAGACACCATGACCATAGCAACCCTTATAAAGGAAAGCATTTAATTGAGATGGTAGCTTACAGTTTCAAACACTAACTTGACATCTTCCAGGTACTTCTTTCTCTATGGCTTGAGAATCCAGACAGCTAGGCCATCAATATCAGAACAACTACTTCTCAGTTATTCAAAATAATTCCCAGGTGAAGAAGCTCCTGATCTTCCAAGACTCTTCCTGTGCCCGGCAGCTTCCTTATCTCACTGGGCTCAGTTACTTTGCCATTTTGTAGATGTCAGGGGAGCTTGGTGTCTTCCAGGGGTGTCTATGAAACTAGGACCCTCCGTTCCCAAGCTTCCAGCCCACTGTCAACTCCAAGAAGGTCAGGAGAGATCAGCAGGTCCATGCTCAATCAAAGTGACCATTGAGCCTGCAAACCTAAAGCTCATATGTGAAGCTGTGGTTACTATTGGCAACACTCCACCCAGTTCTTTCCTCTGGGCCAGAATGAATACCACTCCATACACAGATCCCACAAGAATGTAAGCATTGCAACCCCAGTCAGAAGAACTTTCTAAAAGGCGTTTGTTATGCTTTATGGGATTAGATATGCAGTTTTCATAGTGCAGCATCTATCTGCCTACCACAGTGTTTTTAGCATCAGGAGACCATGCAGGTAGTGGTACGTCTGATTTGCCCTCACAGTCATTGATTCAGATGGGCCAATCAGGATGGACTGATTCATGTACTTTCTTGCATTTGGTTACAAACACAGGTTGCCAAAATGCAGATGACCATTAGGCCTCCCCGAGGAGACAATAAGAAGACTAGATTTGAGTTGAGCTCCTCTTCATTTCAAACTGAGAAGATTCACAGAAATCAGTTTTACATATTGTAGTACCAAAGGGGATTTTAGCTTAAAAAAAAAATTAAATAAAAAAAAGGTGCCTTAGGGGTTTTACAAGCTGGAAGTGGCACACTTAATGAGACTTAGGCAGATCCCTGTCTCTGGAATTCTGCCACCCTGAGGCAGAAGCAGACCAGTCTCTATGAGTTTGAGGCCAGCATGGTCTACACAGGTCTACACATGGTCTACATGGTCTTAAAAAGAAAAGTTTTAAAAAGCTAATAGAGCCAGGCAGTGGTGGTGCACACATTTGATCCCAGCACTCAGGAGGCAAAGGCAGGGGGATCTCTGTGAGTTCCAGGCCAGGCTGGTTTACAGAGCTAGTTCTAGGACATCCAGGGCTTTTACACAGAGAAACCTTGTCTTGAAAAGTAAAATAAAATAAAATAAAAGTGATTAAGTTAGACACAGTGCTAGGAAGGTCTGGCTCCAAACCCTGAAGTTAAAGTTGTTAAGTTTGAGCCACTGTTACTGTTGCTAAGAATGTTAATTGGTTATCCTTTATCTAAAATGCTTATGGCCAGAAGTGTTTGAGCTTGAAGTTTTGTGGGTTTGGGGTCCCCCCTTTCAGATTTTTTGAATATATGCAGACAGAGACTGTTTGACTGCACCTGATCATGATGAGATCAGACAGGGATTTTTATACTGTGGTGTCAGATCGGTGCTCATAAAGTTGCATCCGGTTTTGGATTTTGAGATTACGGATGCTGTGTTTCCAAACTGGGTAAATATCCATTTCATAGTTAACCACCTCAGGTGAGCTCGTTTGCCTCACTCCCTCAGCCACCCTAGCTGTGTCTGTTTCATGGTCACAGAGTGGCCAGGGGAGGGACAGCACAGCCTCTTGAAGTCCAGTCACATCAGCCCTGGAAGGAACCTGACAAATGGGTGCTTTGCACCAATTCAACAGATGAGACCAAGGCCCAAGGAGCTTGATGTGCCTAGTACATCTTCTCCAGGAATTCCTGCACATGCTCTTGGCCAACCTCAGATGCGTAGAAAAAATTTATACTCAAGACACCAGAGTAGGGGCCAAGCCTTTGTTGTTCAAACGCACTTAGTGCACTTTTCCTTGATGTCGGCTCATGAAGCAAAGTTCATTCGGCACATGGAAGGAATCTACCAGCGGGAACATTTGTCAGGTGTGTCTCATAAACCTTTTGCTCACTTGGGCCACGTTCATACAGACTGAGCCATCAGATGAGCATGTGAGCGTGGAAGAGTCCAGAAACGGTGCAGTCATTCATCAAAAACTGCGCCAAATAAAATCTGGCGACAAAACACTCAAAATCTTTGTAAGGGTTCCTAAAGTTTATGATTGAGGAGACTGGAAATGATGTGAATCATATGTCACGACTTTTTCATATTTAACTATAAAGAGAGGTTAAAAAGAATTATGGCCTGAAATTACAATTTCAACAAAATACCGTTTTTCTTTCTTGTATCATTAAGATTTTATCTTACTTTTGATTTTCACATTTTATCTTACTTTTGAAATAGCGAGAATTTGCCGTAAAATTATCTGCATGGTTTGGTATTTATAGATGAGAAAATCGAATGATTCTTTCCCAAAATAATGATTTTTGTTCCAAACCAGCATAAAATAAGGGATTCTACGCAAGATGTCTGATGTATGTGATGATATTTTCCTTGTAAAAGGAGTTTTTAAGGGCAGAACCTAGCTTGGCATTGGAACATGGGACATTTCCAGCAACTATGAGGAAAGGGTTTTTCTGGTGGTGGTGAGGTATCATCGTCATCGTCATCACCATCATCATCATCCCTATTACCTGCTGCACCCCTGTACCTCTGGGCCTGCTAACACAAGCTGGAACATAGTTAGCAACCATCAGTTGCTACGGAGTGTGTCTCGGGGTGTCTGTTACTAAAATACCATGACCAAAAGCACGGTGAATAAAAGGGTATGTTTCTGCTTACAGCTCCCAGTTCACACTCCTTCACACCGAGGGAAGTCAGGACAGGAACTCAAGGCAAGAAGTGAAGCAGAGGCAATATGGGAACATGCCTCACTGGCTTGCTTTCCAAGGCTTGCTCAGTCAGCTTTCTTAAACAACTCAGGACCACCTGCCTAGGAGTGGCATGACCCACAGTGGGCTGGGCCTTCCCACGTCACTCATCAAGGAAATAGCCTACAGCGTTGCCTACAGGCAATATGACGGAGACATTTTCTCAGCTGAGATTCCTCTTCCCAAATAACTCCAGCTGTGTCAAGTTGACAAAAACTAGCCAGCCCAGAGCAAATGGCTAATTGTCTCTTCTTCATGAAGTAACGGGTAATCTTGGCCTTGTTTGTTCTGCAGATCTTCCTTTACATTTAAATGCTGCAATGTTTGAGGCAAATGGTGGCTGCGGTTACGTTTTGAAGCCCCCGGTCCTGTGGGATAAAAGTTGCCCCATGTACCAGAAGTTTTCTCCCCTGGAAAGAGACCTGGACAACATGGACCCAGCTATCTATTCTTTAACTGTGAGTACTCCTGTTGCCAGAGCCATGTAACACGTAAGCCTCTGGGAGAAATATGAACTGCTCGTGTTTCAGAGCATGCAGGTTCCCACAATAATTTCTTGTTTCTCAGAAAGCAGTGGCTGAGGTTGGCACACTGTCACAGACTCTGTGTTTCTGAGACAAGCAGGTGGAATTATTCGATTTGATTCCTGCTTTGTCTTAGAAATGGTTGGCAAAACTCTCCAGATTGCTGATTGCTGCCTTCGAATAGTGGACTGCAGGTCATTAGTCACCTCTACTTCCTCAAAAATTTGTTCCCTCTTAGCTAACAGAGAGGGGAGAGAGAGAGAGACCGAGGTTATTTCTTCTCTCCATCTTTAAATCTCATTCCTCACTTCCCAAAGGAAGTATCCTCATGACATTCCAAATCCCCGCGATAACTCTGCTCACACGTTCTCCCATCACCTAACTTACTTTGTCTCTTGCCCTAGGCTGGGAGAGCAGTTGTCTGTTTTGTATTAGACCGTTTTAGTAAGGGTAGAATGTTGGTTTATCTTTCTACCGAAGGCTACTGTAGGTCTCACGGAAACCCGGGAGAATGGTAACTAAGGTGCCTATTAACAGCAAAGTGGTCGCTGTCTGCCAGCCTCTCTCAGCAACAGAGATGTCTACCCTGTCCCCTATCCTAAACTCTCCAGCCCAAGGCTGGACTTCCCTATCCCCAGCTTCTCTGATTCCTATACAACCTAGCTACTTTGGCTACTCGGTCCTTTTGCCCTTTTTGTCTCTTGGCTGCCTCTCCTTGGTTCCCACTCTCCTGGCTCTTGGCTTCTGGCTTTCCCCTCTCCCCTCCCCCTCTCATCCCATGGTCCAGTTCAGTCTACCAGCCATGTTCAGTCTGAACCATTCCCGATGCCTCTGACTGTACTCTCCCTCACATCTACAATAAGACTTCTCCTCAGACCCATACTTAGAGCATTGTACACCCATTTCATCTGTTTCTTTTATTCAGCTATGAATTAATTTTTGTTAGCAGTATTCCATGACTTGCTTCAAAACTATTGAAGAAGATTTTGTAGTTGTAAAATATAATTCTGCAGCATTTAAAATAGAAAATAAATGGCAAACTCCTGTTTGCATGAAATAGGTCTTCTTTCTTCTTGGCATCTAAGAAATGCCATTTCATGTCATTGTTTCTTTTTTATCATATTTCAAACTTTGTCCAGCGAGAGGTTCAGTTCAGGTGAATGATATAAGCACAATAGGATTTTCTAGCCTTCTAGCCACATGATTACCTGATGACAATCTCTGTGTTTGTTCAAGGATTTTTACTAATCACTCACCGTATCCGTTGCAGCGTTCTCTGTGGACAGAAGCTAAGAGAACTGGTGGTTTCTGTGCTTCTCTCCTGTCTCTGTGACCTTGATCCTTTATCGTCCTTATTCAGATCATCTCTGGCCAAAACGTGTGCCCCAGTAACAGCACCGGAAGTTCGTGCATCGAGGTTGACGTCTTGGGCATGCCGCTGGACAGCTGCCATTTCCGCACGAAGCCCATCCACCGAAACACTCTTAACCCCATGTGGAACGAACAGTTTCTCTTCCGGGTTCACTTTGAAGACCTTGTGTTTCTTCGTTTTGCAGTTGTGGAAAACAACAGTTCGGCAATAACAGCTCAGAGAATCATTCCACTCAAAGCTTTAAAACGAGGTAGAGCCTGCGGTGGTCTTGCCCCAAGGAGAGCCAATAGTGCTATTCTCAGGCATTGTTCCCCAAAGAAGTCCACGGCTCCCAGCAGGGGTCCATAATTAAGGCTTCACAATTACTAGAGAAGTGTGAGGAAGGACAGAGAAGCAAAAGTTAGTTGTTTCAAGAGTATCTGTGTGTCATTCCCCAGTCTAATCACTTTAGATAAGCATCCATCGCAAGCTCTATTCCTCTGCCCATGTGTATGGCAATGAGATACACGATTAGCAAATAGACTTCCTCCTAATCCTAATGTTTTAAGATTTCCTGGTTTTCTATTTTTAATGTGTATAGTGCGCACCTTCCTATATTAATAATCATACAGCTCCAGTACAATTTTTACTGTCTGCATATTGCTGCATTTTATATTTATATATGATCTCTTGCTATTAAAATATTTTATAGGGGGCTGGAGAGATGGCTCAATGGTTATGAGCACTGTCTGCTCTTCCAAAGGTCCTGAGTTCAATTCCCAGCAACCACATGATGGCTCACAACCATCTGTAATGAGATCTGGTGCCTTCCTCTGGCATGCGGGCATACATGGAGGCAGAATGTTGTATACATAATAAATAAATCTTTAAAAAAAAAAAAAAAAATATTTTATAATGAAAGGTTTTCTAAAGTGGATATTAACCTTTAGTAAAGCAGAGATAGTAGCTGCTTTGGTGTCAAAACCATCAGGATTCTCTATTTCTTTGTCGTTTGAGTTTAATGATTGCCTATTTGAGTCTAAGTTAGAAAGAGTACTGGACAAGTTGATTATTCATTGACAGTGCAGGAACCTCCCCCAGGGGACAGCTCTCTCTCACAGGAAACGATTTCTGCTGGCTTGCCTGTTACCATCCACTGCCCATTCTGGAAATGGATTGACGTCCATGGAAATATCTGTAGAGCTCAGCTGGGCTTGCTTAACAGGCTTTCCCCAATTCCGCATCCCTCCAGGTTATCGACATCTTCAGCTGCGGAACCTCCACAACGAAATATTGGAAATCTCCAGCCTATTCATCAACAGCAGAAGGATGGAAGAAAATACCTCTGGCAGTAGCATGCCAGCCTCTTTGGTAATTAAGTTCTTATTTCACCCAGCATACATCTACAGGACTGCTACATTGACGAGGGACTCCCCTGTGGTACAACAGAGGGGCCAAGGAGTCGTTAATTAGGCAGCCATGGAAATGATAACACCAATGGCTGACACTTGGTGCTTATATCCGCCCTAATGCACTGGTTAAGACTCCACATCCAGTGATGCTGAAGAGCCACTGGACCAGGGCTTGCCCCTCTCAGCTGGGGTCGTTTATTTAAACAAGGGCACTGCTCTAATTTACTGCTTAATTCTATTTTTTCTTCCTCTAGAAATTAAAAATATATGTGACAGTGTGTCCAATTTCCCTCTGTGTTCACAGGCTCAGGCACTTTCTTGGACCACCTTCATCTTATATTGTCCTGCTTTCTCCTCTTGCCTCTCTCTCCCTTGCCTCTCTCTTTCTTCTCTGTGTACCCCTGCCCTTCTTTTCTTGGGTTGCCTTCCTTTCTCCTTTTTTTTTTCTTTTTTGCATCACACTATAAAAACCTTGGCTCACGTTTGTATCACCCAAGGAGCTTTTAAAAAGTGAAAACTAGGGGGCTGGAGAGATGGCTCAGAGGTTAAGAGCATTGCCTGCTCTTCCAAAGGTCCTGAGTTCAATTCCCAGCAACCACATGGTGGCTCACAACCATCTGTAATGGGATCTTGTACCCTCTTCTGGCCTGCAGGCATATACACAGACAGAATATTGTATACATAATGAATAAATAAATATTTTTTTTAAAAAGTGAAAACCAGCACGTGTTTCATAGGAGAGCAATCCCCGCTCATGCTCGAAAGAAGCTGTCATTTCAGGAAGTTAGTACTCTGGTGACTGGATTTCCTCATGGCTGGTGAGGAGACCACCGCATCAGCATGCATCAGGTTACACGTGGGTCCTAGAAATGTTGTGTTGAATAGAGCCTAGAACTTCTGTGTTATTGAGGATGCACGAAAAACCATGTGCTCTTCATTGACAGATGTTTAATTCTGAAGAGAGGAAATGTTCTCAGACTCACAGAGTCACCGTGCATGGTGTCCCAGGTCCAGAGCCCTTTGCTGTTTTCACTATAAATGGAGGCACCAAGGCAAAGCAGCTTCTCCAACAGGCAAGTCCACTGAACCCATGGTTAAAGAAATTCAGTCTCCAAAACGTATGTGTGTGTGCAAATATATATGCATATATGTATTCACATAAATCCGTAAAGGTCCATGTTGATGATACATCCTCTATTTCTTTATCTATAGTCCGTTTGTTTATCTTTACATGGTCGGGCTTGAACCTACAGCCTTGAGCATGCTAGGCAAGTGCTCTACCACTGAGCTACAACCACAGACCTTTTATTTTAATTTTGAGACAGGACTCCCCCAAGCTGACCTTAAATTTACAGTCCTCCTGGCTTTGCTGACATATCTTTGGATTGTTTGAAATCCTAAGAATAGTGTCAGGGTTCTTGGTACCACTAGACAGGCTAGCTCAACCTTAGGAGATTCCCCACACACTCTTTCATCGTTAGCCTGTTTTAGAACTACTACTCCTTGAGGGTAGACCAAGAAGAGCACTGACCAAGAGGAGTACCCTGGGCATTCCTTCAAAGTCGATGTATATGGTGAAACGTAGCAGGAACCATATGATGCATGGCAGAATTAAAAGCCATTTGAGCAGTAGTGCATAAATATTAATATTATTATATTATTAATATTAATTATCTCTATCATTTAGGAGCACATCTATCTGGATAGTGCAGCATTTTGCCCAATATTTTATAACTGACTTAAGTAGCATCATAGTAAACAGCTTTAAGGTCCAAATTTTACAGACAACCAAACAGAAACTACTGCCAAAGATTTGGTTTTATTTTCCTTGATGGCTTTTTAGTCAATTAATTCATAAGGTTCAGTATCAAATCACTACAAAGAGTCTATAAAATCAAGGGAACTTCCCACAGCCACTAATGAAAGCAGAACCATATTTTCACCCCATTCAAATAAACAGATGAGTCCTCAGTGCTGAGAGAAAGGGGTGTTGAGTTTCGTGAGGAGATGACAGCACCAAGAGAACCTTTGGAAACTCGCCACCCTGACTCCTTCTTATAGAAGCATATGTGTGCATGATCCAAATTGTTTACCTTGGCCCCCATGGAATTACTAGCATGCAGCTTTAGGATAAGGGCTCAAGCAGAGGGATAAGAGTTGGGAGAATTTTCTGTTCCTACCACCCTTAGCACCTTACATTGTGCTTCCCCGCCACGTGAGAAATATTAACTATGGCCATTTCATCATTGAGGAACCTGGAGAGATGGTGTTGGCTTAATCCATGCCAGGTGGTGGCAGTAGGCTCCCACCATGCAGCCTCCTCTCACGGGAAGGGAACAAGAAGATGTCTTCATTATTACTGTCACTTCATCAGCGATCTATACGACAGGAGTGAGAAAGACAACACCAGCAAGACTCTAATGATGGCTGGCACTTGTTGAGTGCTCCTAATGTCTTGCATGGTGCTTAATGCCTCCATCATAAGCCCAAAGAATAGATTGTTACTGTGAGCATTCCCATTTTATAGATACACTCCCTCATGCACGCTAAGCTGAGCAAGTGCTCTACCACTGAGATGTTCTCAAGTCAAAACAAATAAGTCTTAAATGGAAATCTGAGGCCTAGGACTAACTTCAAAGCTCTGTCTTAACCACTCCATCGGATTGTGCAGGCCAGAGTCCACAGAGAAACAACTCTTTGGACACAGAGTCAGGAATCTCCCGAAAGGAGAATTACCAGATGAGACCTTAGCCTTGTGAGCCTTCCACGACAGGATGGTTGTTTCCACAGTGAAAAAAGAGATGGTGTTTTCAGGCTGCACAGGGTTCTTTGCATCAGCCCTTTGTTGCAATGTTTCAAAGAACCAAGTTCACGGAGTAAGAAACCTGAGGTTTTAATTCAATAGAATCTCTCATTGCAGCAGTGGGAAAAAAATAGTTATGCTGTATGGGGTTTATAAATAAATTGTGCCTTTGCCCAGAGTGAGCATAAACTATCCGTTTGGGACATATAAGAATTATTACAGCTCTGGAAAGAATTGTGCCACACTCCCAAGTAGGCATCGCTTATAAACTGCCCAGCAAACCTGTCAGAAGCTTAGGAAAACAGACCCGTGCTAAGTTTGTGCCACTCTTCAGAGATGTACCTAATGCTGCCCTTGCTTCTTCTTTAGATTCTGGTGACAGACCAAGACAACAAACTCACCGCCACAGACTGTTTTCTGATGGAAGAGAAGCATTTTATATCTAAGGAGAAGAGTGAGTGCAAGAAACAGCCATTCCAGAGAGCTGTGGGTCCAGAAGAAGATATCGTGCAGATTTTAAACAGCTGGTTCCCAGAAGAAGGCTACGTAGGCAGGATCGTCTTAAAGTCCCAGCAGGAAGTAAGTGCCACCTGGACTCAGCATGCGTGATGACCGCTCAGTGTGTCATCAGCCAGCAGCCACCGAATACCTTCCTGAGATCCTGAATGACTGGCCTTTGACACCTCGTTCAGATTATTCTTCTCAAGTAAACATGGGGAAATGGTTTTAATTTCTTGCACATAGTCAGATAGCTAACTGAAGACTCTCAGTCTAAAAGCAACATCCTTTGTAAAACGAAGGAATAAGGAACCTAAAGGATTCCTGTGCGAGGCCACCGCTGTGAGTCTGTGCTGTATTTGTAAGTGTGTAGCTGTTGCTGTAAGGGTTGCTTTAAACCCGCAGCCCTATGGAAATGGCCTAGGCTGTCCTCCCCTATAGATGCCTGAAACTTCAGATAGCACCAGTCACTGGTATCCACGTGTGATGATGCCATGGCTGTTGATCTGATCACCAAGATAGTGAAGATTGGTGGGCAGGTAGTCCGATAGGGATGTGATGGACACAGGTGAGTCATGTCCACATCTACACCACCTCTACCTCCCAGGACAGAAAAAACAGCAAGAAATATTGTTCTTCCACTCATGTGATTTAAAACTTATGAATTGCCGGGCCGTGGTGGCGCACGCCTTTAATCCCAGCACTCGGGAGGCAGAGGCAGGCGGATCTCTGTGAGTTCGAGACCAGCCTGGTCTACAAGAGCTAGTTCCAGGACAGGCTCCAAAAAAACCACAGAGAAACCCTGTCTCGAAAAACCAAAAAAAAAAAAAAAAAAAAAAAAAAAACTTATGAATTATTTATTGGTGGCATTTTCCACTTAATATTTTTAAACCATAGAAAGCAAAGGCTCAGGTGAGGGGAGCCACCACACTGCGTAGCACAGGAGCTGCTGACTCTCTTCTTAGTGTCTGATAAAGCTCTTGCCTAGCCGGGCATATCCAGCTTGTACAGTCTGGGCCAAGGTTCCCAGATCTGAAAGATGACAAAATCTGAAGCCCATCGGGTCCCAAGTTTCTCAGACAAGGGATCATCAACATCTGAAAGGTTCTGGCTTCTACATTCGCTCATTGTGTCTTTAAAATAGTCTAGATCATCTCTCACACTTAGTCAGAATTAGTACAAGTTTATATGTGTTGATACCCTGTGGTTGTCCCCATGGAAGGAAGGTAAACAGCAACTTTCATACTGACTCCTAATCCGTTGACCCTTGTTTGAGATTGTCTGTGGAGCAGTTTTCTTCGCAGAACAACCTAGGTAGTGCCCACTCCCTTCCTATTCCCTTCTACAGTGGGATATAAAGCCATTGCTCCAGCCTTATACCATCAGGCCTTGCGACAAGTCAAGTGATGAACAGTCAAAGTGTTTCAACAATTTAATTAAACACATATTTGATAAGTACCCAATGTGTACATGACCCTGTTTTGGGTCCTCCCCCGGTCAAGGGTCTTTAGTGTATAACAGGGCTTTGACTAGTTGAATGCCCATCAGAAACACATGTGTGCTGGGAAGGTGAGCTAGCACTCCTCACCAGGTCTTCCATTTTCACTTTCTAGTTAGCCACTGCAAGCATGGCCTGCTAGCCAGACACAACACCAGCTTCTGTCTGGGCTCAGAGCCACCACTTTCCTTCTCCAATCTTGCCTCCGACCATAAAAGGTCATGCTTTAAGCAAAGAAACATGGTCATCTTCCTCACTTTTTCTGTCAGGTGTGTGAAGGCAGAGACTAAGCTCACAGTGCTTTATGGGAAAACATCAAAGGGCTCAGGTAGACTTTTGAAGCCATCTTTAATTTCTCCCTAAGTCTTTCCTGTTTATAAATGTCTCGCTTCATCAATTAGCTACCTATAAAAAAGTAGGCCCTAAGTGGCAGTTTCAGTAAATAAGTTAAACTTTAGAGAATTGAATGGGCTCAAACACCCGTTTTCTGTGTCCTCATTATGTAATAGGAATCTTTTGTGCAAAAGGAAACTAAGATTCAGAAGCGTTAAAACAATGGTGGGGTCATGACAGAAAGAACGAGCCTTGTGGCTGTGACTTGATGCACTTTCTGCCATCCTCTGCTGCCAAGGCAGGAATTTCACTCTCAGCCCCTGAGGATTACCCACAGACCTGTGCTATGGGAGGCAACAGGGGGCAATCAGCATGGACTTCGTTATGTAGGTGGAAAGACAGAGGAGTTTATGATGCCAGTGTGTAGCCTAATGTATGTGACAGCGGGCAGTAAAGCCTTCTGGAATGGATGCTTAATAGAACTCGCGGGGAGAGCAGCAGTCTGAAGGAGAGGGAAGGTAAATCACTAGGGATTTCTCAGGCTTTTCCTGGTGAGTAGACTGTAGTAGTTCTCCTTCACATACCTTTGTGGAGAGGAGGTTTTTATGACTGAAATATATGTCAAAGGAAAACGAGTCATATTTGGTGATTTAGGTTTGCCTGGTGCAGTGATGCCTCATAAATATTTATTAGGGCCAGAGGTGATACATAGCACTAAAGCAAATACCTAGCTTGCCCAAGGGTGCTGTGTTTCAGTATCTACTGATCCTTATACTTACTATTTCATTAATTAATATCTCGTTAATTATTGAATGCTAGAGGGCACTATCATCACTACAAAGATTTGCATTTATTTTTATAGGGTAAAACTAATCATCTCTACAAGCCGTTTGTCTGGGCATGGTGGTGCACACCTTTAATACCAGTAGACTCTCTTGAGTAGAGACAGGCAGATCTCTGTGAGTCCAAAATCAACCTGGTCTGCTTCTTGAGTTCCAGGACAGCCAGGGCTATGTAGAGACCCAGTCTCAAAAAAAAAAAAAAAAAAAATATTTCCAGGTTCTATTGGTAACTTCTCCGTTCTTCTCCCTGCCTGTTATACTCTTCTGATGTTCTAGGCAGTGTATCCTCTACCTGCATTCACATCACCTAACTTCTGTGACTTGCTAGCCTGGCCTGTAAAATCTGGAAACAGCAGCAGGTTATCCTCTCCAAGTGATCATAAAGTGCATATGTGTGCAGTATGTAGGGAAAGCTTAGTTAAAAAGTGTTTCATTGAGGCCACTGTTGTTTTCTCTATTCACCATCTAAGGCAAAAAATACCTTTAAAAGTAAATGAACTCTTGCATGTATGATGGTGCATCTGTTTATTCCCAGCACTCAGGAGGCAGAGGCAGGAGAATCTCCGTAGACCAGGCTGTCCTCAAACTCACATAGAGGGACTATATCTCAAAAAGGAAAAAAAGAAAGAAAAGAAACTCTAAATAATGTTCTAAGGTTCAAAAATGACACACTCTCTTCTACCATGGACTCCATTACTTTATGTACTAAGCCTAAAAATTAATTTTAAAATAAAAGAGCTTGGTGTATTCTGTATTCTGTCACTTGGGCCATGGAAGCAGAAGAATAAGGTCAGCCTCAGCCACATAGAAAATTTGAGGCTAACCTCGTCTTTATGAACCTGTCTCAAAAATAAATAAAGGGCTGGAGAGATGGCTCAGCAGTTAAGGCACATACTGCTCTTACAGAGAACCCAAGTTCGAGTCACCCATAAAAGTAGCAAGTACAGTGGTGTATCTGTAACCCATCATGGAGGTGCTGAGACAGACAGATCCTGAGAGCTGTCTGACCAGCCAGCTGTACAGAATCCTCAGGCTACAGGTTCAGTGAGAGAGCGACAGAGGAAGATGCCTAATGTCGACCTCTGGCCTCCATACACAAACACACACACACACACACACACACACACACACACACACACACACAGGAAAACTAACAAAAAAAACCATAAATTTTTCTTGAGACAGTGTCTCACTATGTAGCTCTGACTAGCTATGTAGACTTTGCTATGTAGACCAGACTGGCCTTGAACTCACAGAGATTCACCTGTCTCTGCCTTCCTAGTGCTAGGGTTAGAGGTGTGCGCACCACCACACCTAGGAAAATATGCATTCTTGCTGATCTTATGAAGCAACTTAGAATTTTCCTCTGTGTGTGTGTGTGTGTGTGTGTGTGTGTGTGTGTGTGTGTGTGCGCGCGCACGCGCTCATATGTACAGTTGTGCATGTGGAGGCCAGAGAACCACCACACGTATTCTTCAGAAGTCATCTGCCTTGTTTTCTTTGAGACAGGATCTCTCACAGGATTTGGATCTCACCAAGTAGGCTATGTTGACAGCCCAGCAAAACACCTTTTACTGCTCCACCTCCACTGTTAGGTTGAGCAAAGTCGGAAACTCAGGTCACGTAAGCTGTATGGGTTGTGACTTCAGGTTTCTGAAAGAAGCTCGCGCAGATCCTTTCCAGGCTCAGTCAGTTTGGCACCACCTGGTGGTAGTTTCCCAGTCTGACTTAAGTATCAACGGGAGCAATCCTCTGAGTGATGGGATCAGCAGACACTTGCAGGCCAGTGACAGCAAACCTTGAATTCTTCTGGCTAATTAGCATCATTTCTGTAGTCTGTCTGTGGCGATCAGGTTACAAGAATGCTGGGAATAGAATTTCCTACATGAAGTCTTGACATCTGATAGGGTCGCCTACTATCGCCTCTGTCTCTCTTTTCCTGTGTACACTTTCTTGTAGACTATAACTTTAAACTGTTGTCGTTTGAAAATGGTGCAGCCAGGCAGTGATGGTGCACACCTCTAATTCTAGCACTTGGGAGGCAAAGGCAGAAGGATCTCTTAGTTCGAGGCCAGCCTGGTCTATAGATTGAGTTCCAAGACAGCCAGGGCTACACGGAGAGACTCTGTCTCAAAAGAGGGGGGGGGGGGGCTGATAAATGGAAGAAGATTATATATATCATAACCCTATCCACACAATTCCAGGATTTTGTGTCTGTCTATTCACACGCTGGAAGATGCACTTATGTATCCATGGATGATGTTCACAGGGATACACCACCTAACAACAGCTGCATTGATCGCGTCTGCCCAGGAGAGCAGAGCTATCGAGTCTGAGCTCAATTCCTCTTCCTCCCAGCATTCTGTTCTGTTTACCCCACCCACCTATGTTCTAAGCTATGAGGCCAAGCAGTTTCTTTATTACTTAACCAATGAAATCAACAGATTGATATATGACACTTTCACAACATTGACTGTTGGGAAAAGTTTTTTATGCATTTGGTTGTTTTTCCTACACATATATCTGTTTCCAAATACATGCCTAGTGCCCGTGAAGACCAGAAGACATCATTGGATATTTCTTGGAAGTGGAGTTACAGATGGCTGTGAGCCATCATGTGGGTACTGAGAATCACACCCTGCTCCTCTGGAAGAGCAGCCAGTACCCTTAACTGCTGAGCTATTTTTCCAGTCCATTTCGATTTTTTTAATAAAATGAAAGTAGGGAACTAGAGAGATGGCTCAGCAGTAAAAAGCCAGCACTGCTACTGAAGAGGACTCAGGCTCAGCTCCCACTCACTACCCTCATGGTGGTTCATAACTACCTGTAACTCCAGGTCCAGGGCTCCAACACTTTCTTCTGACCTCCAAAGGTCCTGCACTCATGTAGTACACAAGCAGAGATGCATAAATTAAATAAAGAAACCTTTTGTAAAGATGATGCATACAAGAGAGAGGGAAATTGGATTTCACTCAAATTTATCCAAATCCAATTAGCCTGATAATAATTCTCATAGTATTGGGAATTCTATCCACCGAAGTGTGGCTTACCTGCAGCCATTGTTTGGCCTTCTCACTGTGGGCTTTGCTTAGCCCACCTGGGTGAGTATGCCATGTTTCCTGTTCCATGTCTAGTATTTCTTTTTTGTACCTTGAAATGAGGGGGGGGGGGAGGGGAAGAGGGGGAAGGGGCACGTGCGCCACAGCATGTGGGTGGAGATCAGAGGAAAACGTGCATTTGGTTTTTGCCTTCCACATTTACACACAGCCCACGGACTGGACACACGTCATCGGGCTTGCATACCAGGCACCTTCACCCGCTGAGCCATCTCACCAGCTCCCGTGTCTAATATTCCTTAAATGTTAATGGTGTTTGGGGAATAAACTTCCCTTCAATGGAGCCTACTGTGTTCTTACTGGGCTTTCAGTATATTTTCTTTCTAAAAGTTTGTAATTGATTTGGTCTCTCAAAATCCACAGCTAACAGGCACTTATAAACTGGTTTATTCTATGTGTGTGTCAGCATCAAGCCTTTCTTCTCCTCACAAGCAGGTACATCTTTTTAGTATAGAGTATGAACTACTAGCTAATGTATGAACTATCCAACTAAGGTGATGTTTTTCACAATACCAAGATACAACTCAAATTTTTTACTAGAATTTTTTTGTCTTCTGAATCATCTTACCAATTACTCATGTTTTCCTTTTTAAAAAAAAATATATAGACCCTAGAAGAGAAAAGCATTGTCCAAGATGACAAAGAGGTGACGGTCTTGAGCTCGGAGGAAGAGAGTTTCTTTGTCCACGTTCATGATGTCTCTCCAGAGCAACCCCGAACTGTCATCAAAGCCCCCCGAGTCAGCACTGCACAGGATGTCATTCAGCAGGTAAAATTCTCCTTGGGGACCAAGGTGCAGTTCAGAGATACTGCCTGCCTGGCAGGCACGGGGTTCTGGGCTTCCGGCCTGGCAGGCACGGGGCTCTGGACTTCTCTGGCCTGGCAGGCACGGGGTTCTGGGCCACAAAGAGTCTCTCCTTTCCTCACTCCATGCCCCTTATTGATATAAATGACTGGAACAAACCATGTGGGTATTGACAGTTCATTTGTGAGTGAGGCTCGGCAATGGGGAGCTGGATAGGGGAATATGTCTCTTAAGGATGGGAAATAGCTGCTCAGTGTGCAACAGATATTTAGCTAACATCTACAGTGAGCTTGGATCTCTGCTGATAATGGGTTTAGGAGGTGACATTGCAGAAATTACCCCAGAAACAGATAAGTAAATACCAAATGACCATCTCTGAAAGATGCCACAGAACACAAGGAGAAGGCCAACTCTTGATTGTTGACCAAATCCTTTCCTCTAGGTCAGGCTGCTTTTAAAACATGATTTCAGAGAACTGTTCCTCATGCCCTCCTCAAGGTTTGCATTCATTGAACCCCTGCTTGAGAAGTGATATCGCATGGCAAACAGCACAGACCCCTGATCACACGGCTGAGGGTTCAATCCCGGCTCTATCCCTTACTCACTCAGGGCTGTGTCTGACTTACAGTGTGCTGACAAACTTCTTTTGGCGGGTATGCCGGGGGGGGGGGGGGGCAGCTCAGATTCTTTTCTGTTGAGTAAATGCTCCTCCTGTGTCTGACGTCGGACCATTTGGAAGCCAAGTGAGGTAGCCTGATGAGTGTTCTAAGCCATAGCAACTCAAATGAAAGCGAGGCACTGAGGGACCAGATTTGAAAACCTTTCCCATCGCTCAGAGTCTGAGCCACTTTCCCACCTTAAAATTTCACCCAGGAGGGATGCAAACGTGGGAGACGCTTGACTAAACTGACCCTAACTTATCTTTCAGACGTTATGCAAAGCCAAATATTCCTACAGCATCCTGAACAACCCCAACCCAGGCGACTATGTGCTTTTGGAAGAGGTGATGAAAGATGTACCCAATAAGAAGTCTTCTGCTCCAAAGCCCTCGCAGAGGATCCTTTTGGACCAAGAGTGTGTGTTTCAAGCCCAAAGCAAGTGGAAAGGTGCAGGGAAATTCATCCTAAAGCTAAAGGAGCAGGTTCAGGTAACATGAAAGTGACTTTGCCGTCTGTATAAATTCTCAATGGTCAGTCGCATCATATCAATTCAATCTGGGAACCGGTGAAATCTCTAGAAAGTTTGTAAGTCGAGTAGTTGGAAGGTAATTATTTTGTTTTCACTCTGAGGGGAGAAAAGACAAAAAGCATCATGCTCTTGTGTGGCTAAAAGATCTTGGGATAGAGGCCTTTGGCCTGTCTGCCCAAATCTTTACTTTGTACAAGAAGTACAAAGGAGTACATACTTCCTCTCTGAGAATGCCATGGGACTCAGGAGCCTGGGTTTACATTTCCATCAAAGGTTTTCTTTTATTCTATGTAGGCATCCCGAGAAGATAAAAGGAGGGGCATCTCCTTTGCAAGTGAACTCAAGAAACTCACTAAGTCCACTAAGCAGCCCCGAGGACTCACCTCGCCTCCTCAGCTTGTGGCCTCAGAAAGTGTCCAGGTCAAGGAGGAGAGACCTGTGAGTGCCTTGTCCCCCAGTGACGCAGCGGGTCACCAGCAGTGACGGAGGGCAGCGTGTTTGACTCAGGTATATTAAGGTACTGTAGCAGTTTGAAACAAGATTCAACAGAAAGTACTTTGTAACACAGGATGGGAGCCTCGTGTCTTTTCAAGGGGCTTGTTCCATGAAGGTGGAAATGGTACCTCAACACAGTACCTGGGCTCTGAAATTATATGTGGTATTCCTGGGGCTGGAAAGACGGCTCAGAGGTTAAAAGCTCTTCCAGAAGACCCAGGTTCAATTCCTAGCACCCACAATGGAAGCTCACAACTGCCTATCGCTCCAATTCCAGGGGTTCCAACACCCTCACACAGACACACATGCAGGCAAAACACCAATGTACACAAACTAAAAATAAATCATTAAAAAAAAAATCTTGTCTTTTTCTCCTTCCTCTTCTTTGTTGTTTAGGTACTCTGGGGTTGTGGACTGTAGGCTGGTTATTCTTTGCTTTGTCTAAAAGACAAGATCTGCTGAGTAAATTGGGAGTGGAGGTGGTGGTGGGAGGGTGTGGAAGGGGAGAGGGGACGAAGGAAGGGAAGTGGGAAATAAACATATCGCTCAATTAACAATAAAGTCTAGAAAAAAAAAAGAAATGTGTGTCATGACAGAATTAACATTGTTCTACCTTCAATGGACACTGTGTTTTAACACTGCATTGTAGAAAGTGATTCCTTCAAAACTAGCCATGAGAGCTGTGGGCTTCTGTAGCTGAACAACTGAACCTGGGTAGGCTGTAAATATTGTGCTTCTTTGTGTTCAACCCACTAATAAGCTCCTGTGGATGTTACAGGTGAAGATCCTTGGTGAGAAGCGCTGAAGAATGAACATGGCGGAGAAAACATACTTTACTTCCATCACATGGAAACTGCAAAGTGATGGTTTCTCAACTCCTGCCCTCTTCACACCTAATGTGAGGAACATGCGGAGGACAAGCAGAGAGGCACAGGGCTGCCAGCTGACTTCCTGAGGAATGAAGCAAGGACACGCAGGGCATTGCGCAGATGTTACAGGTGGAAAAGCCAGGCCCAAGCTTAAGGCAACCAGCGTCATCTGTAAAGGGACAGGCGGTACACATTTTAGGGTCGGGGCCATACGGCTTCGGCTGGCTTTGACTCAGTTCTGTCACAGGAGTGCAAAGGCAGCTGCTGACAACAGGTACAAGAATGAACATGACTGAAAATAAAATTTTATTTATGGACACATGAATTGGAATTTCATATCATTTTCACGTATCACAAATCTTTCAAGTGTTCCAACCACTTAAGATTGTAAAAGCTATTCTTAAGGTTAAGGGTCATACAAAAACACATGAACTTGGCCCAAGGACCAGCTGGCTGACCCAACGTGGAGAACTGGGAACCAGAGGCACAGAGATTGGAAAACCTCGAGAACTGGCCATAGGTTTAATGAGAAGTGGAAGCCTAGGGCACTGGAAATGTAAATATGTCCTGTAAGGTTTGTTAACAATTATTCAAATTCGTTCCTATATTGTGTGCCAAGGTGCACTCTTTAGGCTGCCGTTTTGCAAATAGAAACATTCTTTTTTTCAAAAGCTAGTATTCATATGCCCACAGATTGTTCCAATTTCAGTTCTCACAAAATGAATTTAGAATGATGTACAATTTAATATCTACTGAGTTGTGACGTCTTAATAAGACTAATCATTTTTAAAAAGCAAAAGCAGATTAAGTTGATGTTTAAAGTAGACTTATTTATTTTGCAATGTTTGTACTGACACTGTACTTGTATATTTATTAGACATAGCTTTCTTGATATTGCTATGGTTACAAGCATTAGTTCAATCTATTTCAAGACTTCCTAAAAATAAAACATTTGAGCATGAAAAGTGCTAGACATCTAGTGCAATGGCGTCTGATTTACTGAAGAGCCACGGATCCGAGTCACACTCGCCATCTGATGTAAATTATTTATAAAACTGCCCATCACAAAACTGTCAACTAGCTGGGCGGTTGTGGTGCACACCTATAATCCAAGCACTTGTGAGGCAGAGGCAGGTGGGTCTCTCTGAGATCGAGGCCAGCCTGATCTACAAAGTAAGCTGCAGGACAGCCAGAACTGTTACACAGAGAAATCCTGTCTTGAAAAACGAAAAACAAAACGAAAAACCAGCAAAGTCAACTAAGTGCAATGGATTCTTCTCATTCTTGAAACAAAGCACATTGTGACTTACCTGACTGAAATAGGTGTTCCTTCAGAGTAAAGCCTACATTTTATCTTCTTATTGGCATCGTTCCATTTGAAGACATTTTTCTTCAAATTATAAAGCACACTAAAAATCCTGACTTTTGCTTGGAGAGTTTCTTTTACCAATTATAGAATGAATAAAATCCCTTCTTTGCACATTCTAAAAGGAGACCTGTCAAGAATACACTGCAGAGCTTTCATGTCGGTGGAAGAGTCCCGCTGCGCCACCGTCCTCTTGCCAACAAAACTCAGACTATTCTCATTTTGGCAGTTGCACGACACTAACGGTTCTCTTTGAAATAAAGGAATAGGTCTGTAACAAGTGCACAGCACTGCCGCATTTTTAAAACAAATCCTGGAGACATTTTATCAAGTTTCTATAAATGAAGGAGATCAAATGATTCTGACACTGGGCTGGGTAACGCTGCATTTTTAATCTATGAATTTCCTGACCTGGCATCAAAGATGCAGGAGGACCAAGGCCATTTCACTCTTACTTTTAAGTGCCTGGTGTGCTGCTGAGCACACAGTAGGTGCTCAAGATCTGTCTTCAAAAGAATTAAGGCTGTAGTTTAATATAACCCTCAAGGTATATGTGCCTGTGATTATTAATGCCTATAAAGTTATCTCCAAGAAAGGAAACATTAATAAGCCTATATAAAAAGTTAATGTACACATATAGTTCACCCTCAAATATGTATGTCATTCAAATGCTAGCTGTATAGATTTATGGTCCAACTGTGACAAGAAACGGAAAAGTCTAAAACAGTCATGAAATAACCAGTCCATTTCTATTTTAAAACTGGCTTTTCACTTACATATGTCGTCGCTAAAGTGAAGCATAAATGTATCGGTGTTAGAAAACAATTGATACATATATACAGATAGATCTTTTGGTTGTGCATACAAATATTTCTAACATTCCTGAAATGGTTTTAGTCAAACAGTAGAATTTAAGAAAGCTGTATGCTGAACCATACCTTTTCTCATCATTAATAATCAAGCCTTAGCTGGGTGTAATGGGAGGCAAAGTCAAGAGTTTCTCTGTGAGTTCAAGGTTGGCCTGGTGAACATAGTGAGTTCCAGGACAGCAAGGACTACATAGGGAGACCCTGTCACAAAACAAGAAACAATAAAGTCTTAAAAATGTGGCTCCAAGCCGGGCGGTGGTGGCGCATGCCTTTAATCCCAGCACTCGGAGGCAGAGGCAGGTGGATCTCTGTGAGTTCGAGGCCAGCCTGGTCTACAAGAGTTAGTTTCAGGACAGACTCCAAAGCTACAGAGAAACCCTGTCTCGAAAAACAAAAACAAAAACAAAGTGGCTCCAGAAATATTTTTAGGCTGGGCATAGTGGTGAACACTTTTAATCCCAGGCAGAGGCAGGCAGAGCTCTCCTGAGTTCCAGTAAAGCCCAAGTTATAAAGTGGGACGAGAGAGAGAGAGAGAGACAGAGAGAGACAGAGAGAGAGACAGAGACACAGAGAGAGAGACAGAGACACAGAGAGAGACAAAGACAGAGAGAGACAGAGAGATATTGATTTACTTCTGGAACTCAATGTAAGAATACGCCCATGCTTCCCACAGGTCAGGGAACCCTGATTGCTCTTCGAGCTGATGAGGGAGAGGGACTTGATCGGGGGAGGGGGAGGGAAATGGGAGGCGGTGGTAGGGAGGAGGCAGAAATCCTTAATAAATAAATAAATTAAAAAAAAAAAAGAATACGCCCATGTTCAAATCCCCCAGTGCTCTCTCCTCCAACACCTGCTGACCTCTTCTCTGCCCAGACACCCACACACCCAGCTTAACTCTCAGAAGGAGTAAGAGCTGGCTTTAAATTGGTTAACTGGTCACTGTTCCCGAGTCTGCTGGATGGCAGGAGGATTTTCGGTTTTCATATTTTCATTAGGAAAGAGACCTCGGGCTCAGAAAGACTGACTTCTGTGCTGCTGAATCAACAGTCTATTACCTGAACTGCTTTTCACTAACAGTGAAAAAAAACAAGACTATGAAGTAGAAAAGGAAGCTATTTTATTCAACTATTAATAGCAGAAAATATCTATGTACACATTTCATAAGTCACCTCTACAATATGGCAATAGCTACTATATAAAATAATGGTTCATAACTCTATTTATAAGCATATACAGTTTTTATCTGTAAGAATTTTTAAAAAACCCACTTTACTAGTTAGTCAGCACCAATGTCGCTATAGCACAACAGACATCTCAGCCCTACTTGCGTCCTACTGAGCAACTTTCCCCCATCACTCTAGTGTAAAAGAATAAACACAACTTCAAAGATTCCAGAATCACATTCAACTTTCTTTGAAAGTTTCTAGCCATAAGAGCACTCATTCCTTCACCTTTTATTTGTTTGTTTCTTAGAGACAGGGTTTCTGTAACAGTCCTGGTTGTCCTGGAACTCACTCAGTAGACCAGACTGGCCTTGAACTCAGAGATCCGCCTGCCTCTGCCTGAGTGCTGGGGTTAAAGTGATGCACCCACACACCCCGGGCAATACTCATTCCTTCTAACGGTCAGATCTGGTTATTACATGTATCATTCAATAGAAGCCAATGAACAAGAGTCTAATTTTAAGCTATTCTTTTATCCTTACAAAATGGTTTTGCTTTCATCTATGGTGCTGCAATCACAATATTTATTTAGTTATAAAGAGGATTTAATAACTGTCTTGCTCAGTTTTTGTCAACTTGACATACACTAAAGTCACCCATGAAGAGGGAACCCCAACTGAAGAACTACCTCCATCAGACTCGCCTATGGGAATGTCTGTAGGGTACTTACAAAATTAGTAACTGATGTGGTAGGGCTCAGCCCACACCTCATGGGCGGTGCCATTCCTGGGTAAGCTGGCCTGGGTTGTATAAGAAAGTAAGCCGAGCAAGCCATAAAAAAAAAAAAATCAATAAGCAGCGTCTTCTGTGGCCTCTGCTTCGGTTCTCATATAATCGTTCCCAGAAAGTTTTCCTTGTACACAAAGAAAAAGGCCCTCATGTATCTGTATGTGTCTCTGCATATGCGCATACAAATAAATATATAAGACAGTCCACTGACTCTTCACCTTTAGGCTACTGTGAAGATGTTTTCAAACATTTGGTGAAATCCAGTGGTGTCTCAGTAGCAGCTTCATTGCAATATCTTTTGATTAGTTGATTTAAATCTTCATTCAAAAATGAGTCTCCTTGTAAAAATTTATCCTGGAAAAAAAAGGTTAAAATTAATAGTTAAAACTACTCATATTGTGCTAGGCGGTGGTGGTGGCACCCACCTTTAATCCCAGCACTAAGGAGGCAGAGGCAGGTGGGTCTGTGAGTTCAAGGCCAGTCTGGTCTACAAAGTGAGTTCCAGACCAGCCAGAGCTAAACACAGTGAGTTTCTTTGTCTCAAAACAAACAAACAAACAAGAACAACAAAAAAGAAATACAGTAATGAGAGATGTCCAGTCAGGTCTTGGACCATCCCATAGTGAAAGAAAATCTTATCAACTATCAACCATCTCTACAGAATTTCAGCCCCGTGCAACCAACCAACTCCTCAACTCCTAGAGCCAGGCCTTTGCGGTCAATACCTGTAGTATCAATTCATGGAAGGCTAAGGCAAAACAATCGGAAGTTCAAGTCACCATGGACTACAAAGCAATACTCTTGTCTCAAAAAAAGGAAAAAAGAAAAGAAAACTGGCAGTTGAATTGATAATAAATACACTGATTTAATGTTTATTTCCTCTATTAAAAAAAGTATCACATACCTTCTTTTTAGAGTTTGAAGGTTCCACAGGAGGATTGAACGTCATTGCTGCCATGCTGTAAGTCTCAAAAAGTTCAACTGAAGATCTATAATTTAAGAAATATTAAGATTTGCAGAGAAACTACTGTTAGGTATATGACTTTTTAAGAGCTACACTGTATCTGAAGAATAACATCAAGCATTCAACCAACTCATTCATTTAACATACAAACTAGTCAGGCTTGGTG